GGGGTTCGGGCGGCGATGCGATGCGATGCGGCGGGAAGTAGGAGACACCTGTACAACTGCATTCGTGCACGCGAGACTAACTCGTCAGGTGAAAGAATCGTCGATTTTCACTGCGCTCCATTCAAACAGAGATAGTGCGAGCTATGACAAGCATTGACAGTGTTTTAATTTTGTCTGATGGGCTTGCAAATGGCTTGCTCGGAGCTACTCGAATATTAGAAATCGCTGACATTTACAACACGCAGCTACCCAATCGACGATAACATTCGCGAAAGCGCGAACGAGTTGTACTTGGCTAAAAAAACACGTTCATACGCGAGCGTGCGCGCCGCGTCTATGACAGTCAATTAAATTTTATCCGATCGCGCGTTTATCAGGCGGATTTCGTGCTTCTCGCTTGAGTTCTCGTTCCAATGCACGCGGAACCGATCTCCGACGTGCCAATGAAGGGATCGTCGCCGAGTGACCCATATAACCTAACAACGTTCCGCAACACGCTGACAGGGAGTCGCGGAGCAAGAAAAAGTCCTGTTATCTCTCGGTACCGATATGTTAATTCAAAAGTAATAAGATATTTAGCAAGGCCTCCTTCTGCCGATCCGGACCTGCGGAGCCGGCCGAACGAACTCGATGACTCGGTCAGGTGAACCAGACGAATTTTAAATGGTGAAAGTCCACATCGGCCTGAGAGCGATCGCGATCGAGAAAAAAAGGACGCGTTATGTCCCATCGCGCCGCGTGTTACAGCGCGTTACAGCGAGTGAGATCCGCACGGGAATGAAAATGACTGTGTTCCGTCGACGGTCGCGATTCGCGAGCTCCCGGAGATATCGGGTCACGGCGATAATTTATCGATTTCACGACTTTAACGATATTTCGCCTCTCGGATCTTCGCGCGATGATGCATTGACGTAATATTTCACATTGCGAGGGGCATCGCGCGTCAGATTTGCGGGGAGATCTTTTGCGAGATGATTGATTGTCGTGTGTGAATGAATGTAAGTGGAGCGCGAGTATTTATTTTGAAACTAGATACAAATTTTTGGAAAGAATATCGGACACAAATAGAAAATAACGAAATACGTATATTTTTTTTATATTTTTTTTTAAGAAAGTAGCGCAGCAGTTATTATTAGCAATAATAAATTAATCGAATAAAATTGCATCGCGTTATCAAATTTTCTCGACTTCCAAACGATAAATTATCTATGTACTGTTGACTTTTCCTCCGGCTCTTCGATTGAACGGTCTCGAGCAATATGCAAATAATGGTGTATAATTGTACGGAAATAAGAATGCTGGCGCCATACGCATCAAACACTTGTCTCATCGGTTCAAAAGCCACGGACAAAGTTCGCGGAACGTTCGCGACTCGTGAGATGATGCTCGTTTGGCGCGATGCAGGTTACAGTCTCGTGACGTCAGCATCTATTGTTTGACAGAAGCCCGCGGATCTTTACATATAGCGCAATGACTACACAGTCGCTTTTACGAGTCTTTCTTCCAGCCGAGGTATTCCCTTTCGGGCGAACGGTCGCTTCTGCCTCTCGGCGCCGCGAGACGAGAAATGGCAGAATATGCGCATACCACGGCAGCTAAAATGAATGTATAGATCGAACGCGGCGGTATCATTATCCTTTCCTGAACATCCTGGGAACGACGAGATACTCGGAATTTATTATGCATCATAAGCATTTTAAACACGGATTTTAATACGAGTATTAATGTGTATGTTTAAAACTATGTATGTTTGTACAAACAAATTTATTTATTCTGATGGAACAATCCATGCTCCATGCTTATATTATGTAAATTTAAAGCTATTTTGCATTGGCCAACAATTTTTACGTATTTTAATATTTTATTTAAAGATAAAAATTGCGGATTAGAATATTTTATAATTCTCTGAATTAAAATGTTAAAGAAATTCAATGTTTGGGAATTAATAATAACAATTAGCTACTTAAACATAATTTAGATTTCGTGTTTATTTCGCGTCTGTCGTGTTTAGATATACATTAAACGGTACTTCTATCAGCAGTTATAAGATCAACTTTGCAACTTCTATTAAACTAACGGGCGTATAATTAAACTTGATACTTGTCGCGGCCTTGCTAGAAGACATTTAATTACATCGTTCTTTCTCCGCGTTCGCGCACGGGATCCCCTTTCCTAAAGAATCCGGCGGTTTTCGGTTTTGCGCAACCAAGTATCGATACGATGTGAAGTCGTAAAATCCACCGCTCTCCCGGCCGCGAGGGAAGGCCGCGTCCGTCAGTCGCAGGATGTAAAACTTTTACCGCCGCGCGCGTTTTGCAAACCGTGACGCGATCTGGCAGAAAGAAATTCATCCGGGCCCGTCCTGCGAAGTTCCGGGGCACAGTCCCGAGATGCATCGCGTATGCGTTCGCAGCCGGTTCGACTACATTTCGTGACGGCGCGCACTCTCTCGCACGTAGGCACACACGCGCGTACGCGCGCGTATACGAACGCAGGGACACTTGAGAGGCCCCGAATCTCACCGCGATCGTGTCTCGAACGGGCCCGACGCGGGACCCACAACCAGACAGAGACCATATGCAAAACACTTGTGGAAAGAGAGAGCGATTGGCTCGTCCGTGAAGACCTGCAGCTCATTTCGTCGAATAACGAGTCACGGCGGTCGATCTCTCGACGCCGAGGCCTCCTTGAGTTGTACCTCGTCGCGCGCTGTTATCGAGCGATTAATTCGAGTCTGTCTGCGTCGGTACACTTACTTTGCATTTTGACACCTCGGTGGGACAGCGAGGGGAGAGGATAATGGGCTGCAATGTAAGAAATTGCGCGAAATGGAGATTAATCGCACGCCCGGTTAATGCGATGAGCACGGTGCTTGTTTTCTACGTCCTGTTTACGCGGATTGCAGAGATCATGAGCTTTCCACGGCACTTGATTATCACCGGTGACATCATATCGTGACGAAAGTAAAATATTGCCGTTGACACTTCACGAAATGCTTCTTAACGCCTACAGCGCGTCCTAGAATTTCCGTTCGACGAATTTAAAATTAATTTTTTATTAGAGAAAATATCCAGACTGATTATAGTTTTTTTTTGCAATTATTTAATATTTTATAATAAATATTTTAGTAAATAAATCTAAAAATTTTACATCTTAAATATAGAAAATAATAGTTTTTATATTTTTGTTTAGCTGTTTGCGCTTGACAAAGTTGCAAGAAGATACAACTGTCTCAACTCATAAATTATTTAGCTACAATTGTTCTCCGTTGTTTCTCAGCATGAGATCTGCATTCCTGTCGAAAAGCGCCACGAGGTTGAAATTCTACACGAATTCTTTTATGGCGTAAAGAGCCACAGGATATTCAGGTAGTCGAGTACGGATACAATACCCACGTTGTATCCATACGAACGTGCTCGTTCCAGGCATTAGGCTAACGTGATTTGCTCCCCGACGATGTACAAGCACGTAGTACAAACGTTCATTCGTCTGCTTGTCCTAACCTTCCCTTTGCGGACACGCCTGGAATCACAATTTCAAATAACCCTAACCGATGTCCTCATTGCAACCTACGCGCGAAATAGCTTTCTCTTAAGTAAAAACGTCGAAGACGCTTCATAAAGCGTGAGACGTTGATGGCATTGCATGATGAACATCAATTATTAATCGATGCTTTTTCCAAGATATTTTATCCAACAGCATTTTATCTCGCGCCATATGGTGTGCGGGAAACTTGGATTATTAAGCATAATTACATAATTTAGCTAAAATAAATCATTATAAACATCCTCAATTGTTTTAAACTTCAAAAATCGTGCCGGCTGTGCATTATCATAACCTTTAAAAACTTAAATGTCAGGAAAATGGAGATTTATTAATTTGCATGACTGTTCCGATTTTGACGAACGGACCGCGCTTTTTTCCTCGAGAGAGGATAATGATTTTATCCACGAAGGATTAAGACAGTACGAAACGAATTGTAGCAAGATTATTATTTATCGTGGATGCAGCAAGTGTTATATCGTGTGAGGTCAAGCGAATGTCTGGGGAAATAAATTGCAACGATGTTTATGCTCGTGTGCGTATCGTATTTCTGCTACCGGGCAGCAAGTAAGGAGCGTTTATGAATCGCAAGCTCGCGCAACTGCATCACGCATTCAAATCACCGGTCAGTGCTCCGCTTGGTTATCTACCTCCGCTGCAAGCCAGGAATCGCGCTGCAGCTCTCTCGTGCTGCGGGGATATTAATGCAAATGTTATTTTGCGGACTTGCAATTACACGAAGGTTTTTCATGTTTTTCACGATTAATCGCGGACAGTAATTAGATGGAGATAAGCGAGATAGGAAGGTAATGTTGCCTTTAGTTATTCGTGAAACAGGATATTTTTAAAAATATTCAGTAATTGTTCAGAATCTTATAAAGCTCTAGAAAGAGTTTCTAAATTATTGTACATCCAATATTGTTGTCTTTCGACATCTCTGTAAATCGTCTTTCGTCATATCTCATAAAAAGTTAACGCCGCCGACAGTCTTATATGCTCGGGACAAAAAATTTTATAATGTCATAAAAATATTATAATATATGCAATCCGCAAGATTATAACTTCATGAATTGATTTATCATGAAGTTTTCATTTATTTTACTTATTCTGCGTTTATAAAAATGAGCAATAATTTTTCTCGCAAAATACGTAAAATTGAAAAGTCCGATCGAACACTTTTAATTTTTTGTTTTATATTTTACTCGTAATATTACGAGTAAATTGCAAATTTGACACTATTTTCTCAATTGTCCAGAGCAGACTAACAGTCTGTATAAAATTTATAAAGTTTATTTCGATTTTACAATTTTTACACATATGTGCTGAAATATATGATTTAGATCTCTTTAAGAGAACATATTTCCAAACGTTTGCTTACATAATTTTATACGAAATACGTTAGTCTTCGTACTCTTTACGATTAAGAAAGTAATTTTTAAATAAAACACGTGACTTACCCCAACCGGCGTTCCTAGATTCTCATATCACAGTGCACACCGATAAACACGAATTACTTCTTTCTCGTCACTGATCAATTTACGCAATCGTCGGAATGCGAAAATCGCGCACGTTTCACTCGCGATCGAAAGAGAGAGAAAACCGGGAACAAAAACTAACCAAAGTACCGGCTGGAAATCACGAGCCGCTGAGCGACGCCGACGATCAGCACGATGCGCGGCCTTCTGCGATAGAAACGGACTTTGGGTCTCAGGAGTCGGACCCGGCCGCTCGCTCTTGGTGTAAGGGACCTACGGGTCTTTGCGCCTGCGTATCGGGGCCCCTCTACCAGTTGACAGGACGAAAGGTGGGAAGAACGACCGGCAACCCCCTTTCCGCAGGTTCGCTCTTTTTCGCGGGTTGCTCGTTACGTATCTGCGTGTGCGTGCATCTTCGCGCGTGTGCGTATACATCTATTTGTCTTTATTTGCGGGTGTACCTGCTCAGGTGGCAGCACCTCGCCCGATATGTGCACCTGACGGTAGGCCGAGGTACGGGGGAGGTCTGGAGCAAGGTGTATTTGTATCTGTCTACCTACCTGCGTGAGAGCTGATAACGATATTTCTTACAATTGGCTTTGATCTAGAAGAACGCTGTGCAGGGATGAGATTCCTGTAATGCTGTCAGGATATGTGATGAATTGTACATCTGGCGTTAGGCGTTTTATTATTCTAATTTTTAGTGCACTTTAGTAAATTAAAAATTTAACTTGAAAAGATTGCCCTAATAGATTGCCACATATGATTTTTTTGTCTACTCAAATTTACTTTGTCTGTAGTCGACGAAAACTTTTCACCCCATTTACTTTGTGATCAACTGATTTGTACGAAGAATACCGAGACAGTTTTATTTTCGAGGGAGACATTTGATAGATTTTTTTAAAACACATAGTTGTCTGTCAATTACGAAACAAAAATAGAGTGGGACATTTTCTTTGGTCCATTTTGTGTACATGCTAGAAGTTAAATTTTATTAATACATTCTTTACATTAAAATAAATTAATTACGTAATTGCATTAATTGATTGCGTTGCCGTCGACCATGCTGTTCCTTCCGGTAGTGAATTCTCGCATTCAACCGGCCGGGACGGCGAGATCCGTAGGAATTCGCGACGTAACGCCTTATGTCTTGTCGTTAGAAAAGGAGACGAGGGATATCGGAGGAGGGGAGGTTAGTGCTTTGGCGGATACTTCGATGCACATCGGTGAGCAACGCCGTATGCGTTAGTAATTCTTTCGTCTTCCTTTCGTTCTTCCACTTCGCTTTCGCGCTCGGTTGTGTTTGAAGAGGGAAAGACAAAGACTTTCGAACTCTTTTTTCTCTCTCTCTCTCTCTTTCTCTCTTTATATCTTGGAGTTTCTACTCTCTTTCGCTATTTCCTTCCGTTCGTCGGAAAGCGTTGCCTTCATTTTTTTATTATATTGAGAATGCTTGGTTTCTTGAAGATAAAAATGTAAAGTTTTATACACTGAATAATTTTAATGAGTATATATATATATATAGCCTAATTGGTAGTTATTAAATTTTTTACTTATTTTTTATAGATTTTTACATTGAATTATTTTATACATTACACAAATTTGAAATAATTCATAAATAATTCATAAATACGGCATTTTCTGAAAAAAAAAAAGATTTTAACGTCTCGGTGAGTGTGTGTCATTGATCTTATGTACTGCATCATGTAACATGAAAGCCGTTTGCGAGAAGTGTCGAATAGAGGTTTGCTAGCACATTGTAGAAACAGCAGAATCATTTACTGACAGATCGATGCACACGAGTGAACACGAAGATCTGCGGAATACGAAATAGTTACGGAAACAGTAGCACATTATCTGGCTATACGTGTTGTATTCGTTCTCGTGCAATAAAGTTAGTTAGGAGGATACCTGAGTTCTGCCAATGATTATTAGTTATGTAAAAAAGAAAAACTAAAGAAAGTACGTGCAATTGATTTTTTTGCACAGAGTACAAAAACTATTTTAAAAAAGAAATCGCATTATCTATTTTAAAAACTAACGTAGAAAGTTACGATTAAATATTAAGTTAGATTAGATAATTTTTATTAGATAATATTTTTCAAGTAGTGTTATGAAAATTGGTCAAATTTAAAAGATAGAGATATGCTATTTTTTTAAAGGGATTTTTAATTGAATTTTAAGGGCAAAATTAATTTAATATTTTACGAATACTATGTTTTATCTACGAAAAGATTGTAAAAGTATAGAATATTTAAGCTAAAATGTCTTAAAGTTAAACTAGTGATGAAATATTTTAGCAATGTATCCTTTCTCTGTCTCGGAGATTATCTGCTTTTAATATTTGAGATATGAATCATCGCACACGCGGTGTTCACGGAATGAACCTTTTTTTCTTTGTTATACATATACAGATAAGAACAGAAGAAACGACATTCGTGCATATATTGTTAAAGAATTCGCGCACGTGCGTGGGCGTGTCGCGTATGCGTGAACACCTTGGAATTCAAATCGAACGCAGGAAAGAACGTTTGTCAGGCACAACGACGTTTGGAAACCCGGCGTGGTCGTTAAAGGCAATGAGAGTCGCATGAAAGTAAATTTCACGGGAGAAAGAAAGAAGTATACGTATGCGTCTCGCGAGATGCATTAGTTTCTAACTCGCGTATGTGAGAGGAAAATGTTATACATGATTATTGAGGGAATTCCTGATATCTTTAAATTACTTTAGGAAATTGAATTATTTTGATTACTTTTAGCCACCACAAGTAGCAGTGATATATTCTTAACTAAAGTAAAAGATCGCTAATCGAGAATTGCGCTTTAAATAAAAATATTTTTATTGCGAATTCATCAGGTTACAATATATTCGTACTTTACGCTCTTAAAAATGTTACGATATCTAATTTAATATAAAGAATGGTAAAGAACGTCATACAAGGATTATGCGTGTGATTAACAATTGATTGTTAAAATAACAAATATATCAATTACAACTAAAAAAATTTGTGCATATATATGTACAATTTCATTATTCAATCTGATACTTCTTTAGTTTTTTGTCTGGTGAACAATTCTATAAACGGTCGGTAATCAGAATAATCAGAAAAAAATAATCGTAACGGAAGTCACTACATTTACACGCTATACAGGGTGATCCACGAAACTTGGCCGTTTCTAGCACTTATAATGTACAATGTATCTTTAAAGTAAGTCCATGGACGCGAATATATTTTATCTTTATAATTACTTTATAATTACTGTGATCAATTGATACTGCTTTATACGTTTTCAAGTGTTCAGATTTAAAATCCATAATCGTAAATACAATGGAACGTTTACACATCATAAAGCATGTATCTCAAAAATGACAAGTATAATTTGTGAAAAACGTGAAAAATTAATTTTTTAAGTAATATTAATTTCGTGAAATATTAATTTTTTGATTAATAATTCCTTAATACTTCTATACAGACATTATTCAGAATTCAGAACCTATTCATAAAGAAAAAATACATATTAGAAAAATTTTTTTATTATGCCATTTAACTTTTTTTCTCTACCATTTTTTTCTATTTTCAACAGAACAAGTGCTAGAGTTCGGTTCAGTTCCGTGGTCCACTCTATACATCATGTTTATGGTGTATCATTAACACTCACAACATTAATTACCTCTTCCATTGAAATAAACCTGTATTTGCAATGGCATAATTGTATATAATTCGAGATTCAAACACCATTTATTAAACATGGACCAATCACGTTTCCTGGCTTTCTCAATATTTTCTATTACATATTCAATATTGATAGCACTTTATATCATAATAATTTTATAACAATTTTATAACGAAATAACAACGCTCTTACGTACATTATTACAAAATTAACACTTTTTATTAAGTATTACGCGATTTATTCGTGATACGAGCACTGAAAAACTACATTTGACGATTGTCAAACATGTCGGCAAGATTTGCGTTGCGAATAGAGTATGAGCAAATGATAATAGTGTACCGCTAAAAAATATCGCTAATAATCTTGGATGCACGATTCAGAAATACAGGTTTGCAAAAGCAAGAACAGAAAAGCAGAAAAACAATATCGACAAATTTAAGTTGAATACTCTGAGGATAGTCTTAATATTTCCTTGAATTTATTTAGGAGAAAAAAATTGAAGCTATTAAGAATAAATAAATATTATCTCAATTATGATGATTTCAAAAACCCCTTTTATGCATCCAAGAGTTAAACCTGATAACGTTGCAATGTGCGCGTGTACATGATAGTGTTACAATCGTTGCTTACAATACACCAGCTAAGTGATATGACTCGATTTCTCAACGAACGCTATTATTAGTAGTAATAGTGGCCTCACGAAGTAGCGGGAGGATCGAAGTCAAATCAGACATTTAACAAAAAGAGAACGGTGCAGCTTGAGTCCGCTAAATAAACCGTGATAAAGCGATAATGCACTATATGAATACTGCTTGAAACGTTTTATGCACCAATGCGTGTGTATGTGTGTGTGTACGTGTGTGTCTGTTTCCTTCGCTTTTCTTTTTTCGCGAGATTGGTTATTTTAATTCCAGCGTGACTTTATATATATTCAATCTTCGATCTTTTAAATATAATAGAAATTTATACATAAATTTATATATTAATCTAAATTAAAAATATTTTGCAATTATGTTATTAACTAGTAATTTTTGTAATTTTTATTTGTTCTTGTTGTTTACTTTTGTGGTTTCTATAAAACCTATTTCACGATTAAAAAGTTAAGATTACGCAGATAGTAGAAATTGAAACTCGCGCATTTATTAATAAGAGAATTAAATCCAGATTAAACTGGAGGAAAATTTTTTTTCATTCCGTTGACTATCTCCATAATCTTGATCCTATTTATTATTTACAATAAGAATTTTGAATAGTGCCAGTTATGCTATCAAAAAAATATGAAGAATTTTATATACATATATATGTATATATATAAAATTATTTCCAGTCGAGCTATTTATTGCGGAAATTAAAAAGTCTCGATGATAACCAGAGTAAATGGAGAAGCGAAATCTTGCGCTGTATTATTGTCCGTCTTGCTGGCGTGAAGTCGATCGATATCACGTGGTGAGTTCCAAGTATCGTTTGTTCTCTATGGATCCGTAGCTGTGCGAGTAACGGCCGCTGTACGATACTCTGGACCAGGCTCCGGCTCGGTTCGAGTAACTGTTGCACGCGATGAGCGAATTCATGGCGTTGGGTCGATCGATCGGTACACCCTGGCCCCGTACGGTCTGATGCGAACTGCCACTGCGGGCCGACCGGTCACTATTCATCAGCGGTGCCCTGATATTCTCGACCGCGCCGACGTCGGTGTACGGTTTGGGCGCGTGAGAGCAGCTACTCAGGAATACCGCGGCTATCACGCCCTGCGTGCAAATAATTCGTATAAATAAATTTGCGATTTGTTGTTTCATGTCGGGATAATTTTTTATTCATAGAATTTGTGATGTAATACTACTATTTTATAATTTATGTGCGGTGTAATAGTGAAGAAACTAATGGAAGAATCAGATTATATGCACATGTAATCCGATTTTTGAAATGCTTTCTTGTATTATGTAGCACATGAAATTATGAATAGCAATTCTATTTTGAATTCTGTTACGAATTATAGATTGTTTAAAACAGATTATTTATTTATTTAATAAATTATTTTCATAGATTTATTTCTTTATAAGTGCCAAAGATTAGAAATCATGATTACTAAAATTACAGATAGTCAAATGTTAGCAGATTGACTGCAAATTTGATTAAAATTGTTAACATTTTGCTTACTGAAATATATGCTTTATAAATATTAATGCTTCCTAGAACAAAACTATGCATTTATTTGTCTGAAAATAACAAATTATTATTAAGCTACAATGCTTCTTTTTAGAAAAAGTATTTTAGAAATTTAAATCATATATTATAAAATGAATAAAACGTACCACCAGCGTATGAAGTAACACGATAAACATAGAAGCGTTTCTGAAACCAATGTTGTCCAACAAAATACCAGCGAGGCTGGGACCGATAAAAGCTCCGAGAGCGAAAGTACTTGTCCATAATCCGCTGATGAGACCATAAGTTTCAAGACTGTTCGGGAATCCGTACTCTCTTAATATGAATAATAATTATTAAAATATTATAACTTATCTGTAATATCTTACAAACTGTATGAGACTTCTATGTAATAGATAAACAGAAAAAAGCAATTCATATTTCGTACAATTTGCAAATAATCGAGATTATTGAATGCAGATTTATTCTCGTACGACTTACATGGATGATCGCAAAGCGTCTGTGAAACTCGCAACCAGTTGGGCAGCCATGCCTAAGCCATGGATTACGAGACCGCTGATGGTCAACCAGATTATGGTAGGCGACGGAATGAACGGTGCCGGGCCGATCAAACAGAAACCGATCATCACGAGAAAACTTCCAGCGATAGTTGCTACCTGAAGAGCATCATATATCTCTTGAGAGATATTTATGAGAGACATAACATATGTGAAACTTGATGCAATGTGTATATTGAAGCTACGGCAGACTTTTAGTGTTCGAAATTATTGATGTGTAAATGCATGGGGATAATTTACTTAAAAATTCTGTACAGAATCACGATAATCTTCGTAGTTATTGTGCGGAAAATTACTTTTGGATGCCAATATTTGTCACAAAGCCAGCCCCATGCTGGCGCCGTTATCGCGTACGTGCCACCGTTAATGACGAACATTAGTCCTAACACAACAGGACTCAAGTTAAATTGTCTCAGATGCGGCTCCAGGGTTGCTTGCAAGAATCCGATACTCATACTTGCTGCGACTATCGACGTCGAGGCGATCATCACGCCTGGAATCTTTAAGACTTTTGTCACTCCTAGAAATCGTAAAATAATGTGTAGTATAAATTGATAGAATTACGATTGTGTAATCGTCAATTTAATATCTATTCAAATAGTACCTCCGTTATTGTGTGCATCTTGTTCGCTTTCATTGTGCACAGGTAGAATGAACGCAGTGCTGACGGCTGCCAAGAACAATGCTGAGCCAAGAACTGCGAATGGAGTGGTGTATCCACCAACCTAATTCGTTCACATTGCGTGATATTAATGATATTTTAATATATATTTTAATCTTTGGATATATAAAAGAGATCTTTATAAGATTTTTCTAGTACATATTTACTTCTTCATGCTATTGGCAATATATTTTCCATCAAATTCTAATAATTGATTTTTAAATATTTGAAAATATTTATGTGCTGTCTTTTAAATACAATACTCAATTTACTTATTAAAATTTGTCTGCTATGTTTTTGCAAATCTTTATTATTGAGTTAGACTACCAATAACTATAAATGATAATAAAGAGAAGAATTATTTGTGATCAACACGTTATTCTGCAAAATATAGATATTTACAAGATTTGGAGAATGTCATTGAAAATACATTACTTGATAGAGTGCACCTCCCACGGTGGGACCTACGATTAAGCCCAAGCCGAAAAAGGTTTCCAAGCTAGCGAATGTCGTGGCGACATTGTTGGGAAATTCTTTGGCAATAATAGCGAAGCTAGCTGTCAAAAATGCAGCATTCCCTAATGCCTCTACAATTCTGATTACGAAAGATAAGATTATGAAGGGATAATGACCATCGACTTTGTCTAACAGACCGAATAATATGGCGCAGGCTCCTGTAGTTAGGATACCGCCATTGAATAGGAGTTTTGGACCGATTTGATTGAGCTGCGAAAGATAGAAAATGCGATTCATTAATTAAAAATAATCGACGGTTTTATCATTATTTTGTATATATAACAGTACATTTTAATTGTTATTTTACAAATTATTTTTTTCAAATAGTGGCAAATTATTATTTTTATTTTGCAAAAATACAGTTGTGTAAAATATTAACTACTAATTCATGGAAAATTAATCCACGCAACAACCGGCGAGCCTGAGAAATGGCAAACTTATGCGTTTTGTGTTATAACTCTAATCATTGCACAGGCTCAGTTGGGTTTGTATCTCAAATATAGTCACGAAAATCCCAATAAACAAAATGTTAACAATGTTGATGCAGCTTGACAGCAAATTTGACCAAATAATTTATCTGCTAAAATCGTTAACATTTAACTATCTGGATTGAATCTTATTTATGATATTGTATAAACTTATTTTCTTCATCTTTATTACTATTTCATCATATTTTATTTAATATGTTTCTCCGTGACGAAAGATATTTCCGTGTAGATTAGATATTCAAAACGCAAATAAGCGTGGATGATTTATGACCGTACCAAAAACATTAACGAGAAAAAGTCGTCTAGATTACATTTTAATGAATTTTATTATTTTGTGTTATCTATTAATATGACAGCGATTTGACTTCTCTAATGTTAAACATGTCGTAAACATGAAATTGCAATGTATGCAGTATGTTGGCGGTAATTATATGTCACCACTCACGCGTTGTCCGTAGAACGGGCTAATCATGAAAACCACCAACTCGAAAATCCCGAAAACCAATCCATACTCTGAGGGTGACGCGCCTTTCTTCTCGGCCTGTGAAGAAATGTTCAAACAAATGAAAATTTACATATATACATACGGTACATACGTGTTAATTTGTCGACCGGTCCGAAATATTAGCAATTCGAAGATACATCGAGTTACGCAGCAGCTCTATCTATTATCTCGTCGCATTGCAGTTAATGTTCGTTCAAATAATGTTTCGATAAACTTTGGAGCTCCGCTTTACGCGGTGAGCCTACCAAGCGAATTATCGAGCGAATTATGTCGTCGTTTGTCCCCCGACATACGGAAAACATCCTTAAACACGTGCTCCATCCGTGCACACACGTGGAATGGCAGAAAAATTGCGTGATATATTTTTCACGTGGAAACTAGAAATCAATTTCGGTAGATGGAAAACACTCTTTTAAATGTGTGGCAATGTAAAAACTATAATTGTGCGGTATATATTTCAATTCAACTATGAAAGTTTAGGCAGTTAATTAACATATAACTAAAGCTTAGCTCGATCATAATTATTGATATAATAACAATTAGATAATATCTAGACATTACTTACTGACATTACTTATTCAATCATAATGAATTATAATATATAAATTATATTAAAAGAAATTATTAATCAATAGCAAAATAATCGAGTTGTATTAAACTTCTTTAATTTTATGCGACGTAAAAATGCTTACAAAATCTTGAACTTTATTACGAGTTTTTGCGTATTGATCGAATTTATATATCTGTGTTTGTAAGTCGATAAGCGATTTTATTAATTGACTGAATCATCAGAGATAATCTCAAAAAATTCAGTTCAAAGTAACCACCAAGTACGATATATTTCGCTCATTTTTTAGAGTCAGATAGAATGTCAAGATCAAATTGGTCAAGATTAAAATAAAAGAAAATTACAAGTTAAAGAAAGAACATTACGAACAGCAATAATTACGCATTGATAAACTTCTTGTGAGATATTCTCTGAAGAAGTTTTGAAATCTTTATAAAAGCTTCGATCATCGAGCTGCTTTATAAAAATTAATTAGTTTTTTAAGTTTTTTAGATTCATTTAAAACGTATTTCGAAAAAACATGATTACTTTGTATATTACGGTTTATATATATAACGCATTTAACTATACATATATAATACTACATATAATCGCGCAAACTTTCAAGTGCCGTAATCCTTCGTTTCACTTCATGAAGTTATTGCGTGCTTAGCATCGTGCGATCAGTATAATTGAGACAATGTGTTAAAAGAAAAAATAAAAGAGAATATTAATACGGGATCTTTCCAAGCAATGTTATTATGCAATAAAAAGACAAATTACAGTAGGCGCGTTTGTTGAGAAGTCTCATTCTCGACTCTCTGTTAATTATTGGTTTATAACAAGATAAGTGTATAATGCATTTTTAACTACAGAGTAGCAAATAGATTCTGACGTCCAATTCGATTAAGGAAGATTTTTCGTAGCAAAAACTTCTTTCTACGCAGAAAATATTGCATATCGTAGGCCTGTATTTTTTTTTAATAGTTTTGTATGTTCTCGTACGCGCCTCTCAAGATAGAGATTCTATTAAGAAGAAAATAAATTGAACATGCCAGACTTTCGACTTATCGAGAAGATTTCTTCCACAAACGTTAACCTTTGCTCTCTTGAAAGAATGATTTAAATTCAGATAATTTGACGCCTTCGATGACGCAGACTATAGAAAAATGTGTATTATTTCATAATTTTTTTATAGTTTTTTTGACATATATGTATAAAATTTTATAAAATTTTATTAAAAGTTATAAATATAATAATTATAATATTTAATTTAAATATTCAATATTTTATAGCAAATAAAATATTTATATATAAATATTTAAATAAAATATTTGCTATAAAATATTGAACGTGCTGAATTAATGAAACTTTGAAACACGAGAAAGCTGCTTATACTCGATATTCCGACGAAACTCTTCTGCGATTAAATGTGCTTTTGTAGATAGATATTGGAGCATTATCATTCGCGAGATATAAAATAAAGCAGAGAATATCATATCTTTGCTCTATTAACGCAACTAATTTTATCGAAAGAGGTTAATTATTAATAATAAGAGGTTATTATTAATAATAAACAAATAAATCCAATCGAAATATAATGTTTCGAGTTAGAAATACGTTCGTAGTGTGCGTATAATCTGACAAAAACATACGAGACTGACAGATCATTTTTTGGCGCTTGTGAAAAGAAACAAGTAGCGCGGATAACTGCCTCTTATCGTCTTATTGAACATTACCATCTCACTGTGATAAAGAACGAGAAAGGCTTATTTGATTTATAGCTAGTAACATTATATCATTAAGATAACCTTACAGTTTTACAAATATTCGCGTAAACGATATATTTTTTTATCTCTCATCTAGTAATATCTAATATTTTTTGATATAATAAAAATTGACATAGCTTATTTCGCAAATATTTTTATGTGGCGCGTATAATAAAATTGGAATTTACAATTAAATATTTAAAAATTAAAAAATATTATTAATAAAATATTTTTGATTATTTGCTTACATTTATGTTAAGAAATAAATCTCTTCTTTGTCCATATCATATTTCGTAGCAATTACTATATATAATAAATTGTGCGTGTAACAGTAATCCATTTTACGTACATCAGCAAAGATTTCATCATACAGATTTTCTTAAAAGAATGCAAACATTTTCTGATGTAATTTGTTGGATATATTACTGTATTTTTGTACACAGGATGTAGCCGACTTGTTACATAACTTGTGCGACCATAATTATAGTGACAAATGAATTTAGTGACTTTAATGAATTTACAATTTGCTTAGAAATACATAAAATATTAAAAATTAGAAATATATGATAAATAATGATTTCTTTCGACGTTTTTGCTAAAGATTGATTTTGAATTTAACCAGAAAATTAAAGTTGCAAAACATCCTGTTCATAATGAGATATAAAAGTATCTATTATTTATACTGACGTTAATTTAATTGAACTATAAAGATTAGAACTATAAAAGTAAGACGGAATAGAAACATCAATTTCATAAAATTTATAATACAGAGTGAGTCATTAAAGACAAAATATTTATATAAAAACATATTTTTTTATTATTTGAAGGTACGGAATGTGTGTGTATATATATATATATATATATATATAATACAATTAATTAGTTCTAAATGACTAATTCTCTTATTTTAACATTTAAGATATATTAAGTAAAATAATTTTACATCTTGAAGATATTCTCCATTCTAAATTTTCAAGGTTAAAGTTATTTCAAGGTGATATTGTGAAGTATGGCTGCAAAGTCATCTTACTGCAATATGTAAGGAATTGGAGTACATAAAAAACTGTGAGATAATAATAATAATTAAAGATTGTGAGATAAAGAAACTTTTTTAAAGAGAAAAAAGTATTATATTTACTTTTTTTCGATCATGAATCTAAATTCTACACATTCTTTTGTATTTTCGAATTTAAGAAAAATATTTAAGTTTTGTTTTTATCGACTCACTTTGTACATTATAAGGGCAATAATAATGAGGTGACAATTTTGTAAACACTTTGGTACCGTGTTTGAAATTCCTATCGCGATGACGACGATACAAATCTTATTTAGTTAATAAGTTATCATATGAGCAAGCAATTTATATCGTATAATGTCACTGAACAACACACTTTAAGTCGATTATCGTCGTTGTTATGACTATGGGTGACATTTCACGCAAATATCACTATCATTCGAAGTTTCGCAAAGGCATCTTGGAAAAGATTGAAAGATTTTTTTTACAAGAATGACATATCCAGACGTGGTAATAAATTAAATTGCAAGATTATTCACTAGTTTCCGTACTCTTTATTTACGCGAACGTAGTTCTTCGGTAGCAGTCATCCTGTATATAAAAGTATTGTCGACGGTTATCGTCCTCTTACCTCTTGCGGGTAGAACGGCGCTTGTAGCGAGACGCAGATGGCATTCGCGAAATCGGCAATACTGATGACGATGAGGGTGAGCCATTGCCTCTTGGTGAAATGAGCGATCGCCATTCCGTCTTGCACACTTTGATTGCGCTTTACGACATCGGGAACGAGCACGAATCGACCGACTGACTGACTGTTTGTCACTCTTACAGTAAATAATACACACTTGATTGGAATATACACAGTGTGTTGTTTCTTGCCTCGTCTCGCGCCTGTGACGCGCGCACGGATTTACGATGTGCGTGGCTGAGTGTCGTTGTTTGCACTACGTGACGCCGGTCACTTTTAAGGATTTGGAAAGAATGGAGAACAGGGTCGGAGGTCGAATGATATGTCCTACCACGGTTCTAATTCATTATCGGCCGACGCTGCCGAGCGTCTCGCGCGTGTGCTGTAGGGCGTGAGTTTACGAGCAACCGCGGCGCGCCGGAGCCGATTTAACCCCGATTTAATCCAACCATTTGTGTACATCGCACTTCTCCTTTGAAAACGAGAAGTCTGAATGCAAAACTCACATTCTCTACAAGAGAGAGATTTTATGACGTAATATTATATTTGATCGAAATTAGATTATGGAAATCTTTTTTTTTATTTTCGAAAAGTCGAAAGCAAGTTTTCGTAAAAATATCAACGAATAAAAACAAAGTTAAAATTCTTTTATTTTGAGGTAGACTTATCGGTTTTATTGAAAAGTGATTGAAATGTGACAGTTATTGATAATGTTTTGCTAAATATATTTTATACAGCTTTATATATAATAATAAAAAAAACACGATAGTGTTTTACGCCAAATATGTATATTATTTTTATGAAACATGCGCATATGTAACAAATCGTAATGCAACAATTATACAAAGTGAGAAATCTTACAAATAATCATACAAATACCCTTAAACTACATATTATTTTGCCAATTAATGGCGAATCAAGTTTAACAATTTCAAAACCATGAATGTTTATAAAAATGTTTGCACTATTAAGAAATGCAGACTTAATTCTAGAAAACATAAATCTAATAAATCTGACAATTATTTACTTTCAATTAAAATATATGATTTAATTAATTTTAAAATTGAAAAAAATGTATGATTACGATGAAGTTTTTAAATATCATAATTATCATAATAATTCATTATACTTAACGAGTAATACTTTAATGAAAGAAAAAGTCTATTACGATTACTTACGTCACACTATTTTTCAACAATCACGTATACTCGTACTTTAATAAAACGTTACACCAATCACGACTTTTCCGTCCGTATACGTGTGAATTTTGTACTTGCATTCATAGAAATTGGAACTTTCTCTCTCTTACGAGTCGGGCAGCCAGATTTGCAGAGGCAATTTGTTGAAAGCGGTGTTCAGGAATTCCTTAAAGTGCTTGGCGACACTAATGCTAGCCGCCGGTTTCATCTCCTCGATTATCTCTTTGGCGTTCTGATTCAAAAATTGATTCATCGCCTGGCCGATGACATTGTTGCCGTTCAAATGATCCGATATGCGGAATCTAGCTCGACCGAGGCTGAAGCTGATCAGCAATCGACTGATTTTCATGTAACGAACGCCATCCTTTATTTCCTCGACGCCTTGTATGCGAGCCATCGCCTTTAAGTCGCCTAAATGATCAAAGCGTTAAATAAGTATCGAGTAACGCGAGAAGAATATATCAAATGTGAATTAAAATAATAAAATTCACATTTATTATCAATTTGAGCAACTAAAAAGTTTTTTCTAAGAGTCACTCTATTATGCCTCATGAGAACTTACCGAACAATGCCCAGAAATTGCCATGACTTTGTATGGGGAAGAGGAGTATGTTCCCATCGATATCGTAGTTGCCGTGAACCTCGATCTTGGGTAATGTTAGGTGAAGGTCAATTCTATATGTCGCAACGTTTATTCGCACTTTGGTGACACTGTAATTTCCTGGTCCTATCGCGGTGATATTAGTGAAGATTGCTCGTACGCGCACCGGGCCTTGTCCATTTTCTATTTTCAGTTCGGGAATCACTAACGGTTCGATCGGAGGCAATTCCAGTTCTGGTATGCCTGTTGAAAAATTTATATTTGTAAAATAATTATAAATCTGATTAGTTGACAACGATTAATCAGAAGTTTCTATATACTCTGTTTTTACGTTATTCTCCCAATATCTTCGATCAATTTTTTTTCCTTTATATAATTTTTAGAGAAATCTTATGCTATCATTTAACAGTTTACTTAATTTAGATTTATTCACTATAATATCACCTTTTTAAAAAACTAAAAATAGCAGAAACGTGTGGATTAGCAGAAAAATAATCGAGACATTAGTCTTGTGACAGAATTGTGCGTGTAATTGTGTTGTAATACTTTTCTACGAAGCCCGCGACATTTTGGCTTAACCTGTTACATAAAACGTTATTGTAGGGATTTAAATCGTCAGTTGTACAAATTTTTACGATATTTGCGGAGTGAGCCGATGAAAGTTTACGCTCTTACGACATGGCAATATGCTTTATGTAACATTTGGTATTCACATTTTACTACCTACAGCTTCGTTAATTGGTCTTTGCGTTGCATTAATCGGCATTACATAAATTTGATAAAAAGAAAAGTGGAAATAAAAAATAATTCCGACTTCATAAAATAAATATATCGGGCGAATAAAATGCTTGCTGCATCAATCTTCTTTGTCAGAACTATTTGAGTATTTTGCAATAAATAGTGATATAAGCCATGTCGAAACTGATCATTTAGTTGCGCACTGAAACGTTAAGTCCAATATGGCAATGTATGTTTAACTCTAAGCGCCAAGGATCACGCTCCTTCGTTTTACATACGAATAATTAGTCAATATTACATAATTAATTGCTTTTTACGAAACAGGAAAAAAGAGCATCGATTTAATGATAGATCAAATGCTGGCAATCAGAATAGAAATCGAGCGTATTCGCATTAGGACGATTGCTTTGCGCGGACACTAATGTCACTTTCGTTATCCCGTCCGACACTCAAACAGTTAATGCTACAAACGCTTGAAATTTGTAGAATTTTGCTAAACAGAGAGAAGAAAAACTTATAAACTCATTCGTATAGAGGAAAATGCCAACATTTAATTAATAAATTTAGTTTCTTTTTTATTTCTAAATATTTTGCAAGATAAGATATCTATGAAAGATAAGTGTACGATAATATCAAATATTACATCATTTATCGCACATCCTTTTTAGTGCAACGACGAGCACTTGGCTAATTTAATGAATTATGATATATTTGCGACATGTGTGCATGCGCACGAGACGCATTTTACTCACCTTTCACCAGGTACGGCTGCATGTGAGTGAGCGCGTTAAGAAAGCACGAATCGATCTTTGGATCTTTCTTGCTGCATGGTATTATGTACTCGGCTGCAAGAAAAAAAAATTTGTTAACTGTAGGTGATTAGACGTGGCGCAAGAAGCATTATGTAATTAATAATAGGTGCGATAATAGTAATAACATATGATTTGACGTGTTGAGTAATAAATTAATCCTGAGATTTTATGAGCACTAGAATTATTGATAGTTACTATTGATTCTTAAGTACTTTTTTCAATACGGGTAGACATATTTATATCTTTTTAATTTAAATACGAGTCTACAAATGCTTTCTTATGACACACAAGATTTATTTGAATTGCAGATTCGCATATATCTATTCCAGATAATGTGTATTTACAGGATTCTTAATTTTCGCAATCTTTTCGATTTCATAGAAATGCTGAACTTCTATGATGCAAACTTTAAAATTCGAAATGAATCAAGAAAATATTGATTAAATAATTGTTGTGTCAAGATAGCCAAACTTCTTAAATTTTCCGCAATTTAGAATTCTTATTTTTCTGCATTTTGCAAAGTATTAATAATTAATGGTTTATATCAGAGTTGGCATCTTCTATAAATTGTAGCCTTAAAAGACTTAATAACTTGATTGATTTTTCTTCCATGTCGTGTATTTCGTCAATTAATTAATTGGCTTGTGCAATTATGCATATCATTTTAATCGATTATTTATTGATATATGTACTTAAGTAATTATTATTATTACATTATTATTCTAGAATTGTCAGCAATCTTTATAATGATTGTTAATGATCTCAATACGTTACTGTCATTATTAGAAATTATTATTGAAGAGCGATTAAGCCGCTAGATCAAATTATTAAATCGACGTCATTCTTTTTTTTTTGCCATAAGATCCTACTAATGATTAATTTATTATACTGGAAATTATACATGCACGGAATTGCATGTACATCCGTTCAGTGAATTCGTTCTGCAACGTCTTCCTGCTTCCTTTTATGCATTTTATGCAATCACTCTCACTTTCAGTGACCTCGCAAGGCTAACAATCAATTGATGCTATTGTATCAAGCCTAAATTTAAGAAATATTGATTGAAAAAAGCGGTGTACTTACGAATTTTTAAATGATACAGCTGTTCATCTGCTTTTTGGAGAAAAATTTTTCATTAATTAAAAATTTTATTTTATTTTTTTTTACATTTTAATGAAGAAAATAAGAACTCGTGACGACTTTGTATTCGTTAATTGTTCAACTTTTTGATAGTCTTCTTTGATGATCCGGACATTTTAGAATTTTAGCATGATATATATATATATATATATATATTAGGTTTTTATTAGGTTTCTTCGATCGAAAATGTTAATGTAAAGTAATTAATAATTAATAATTGCGGAAAGATTATGGTTGTAACAAAATTAAAATATCTGGTTTATACACAAAAATATATTTATTTTGCCAATATATATTAATTAATGAATTTTTATTTCTATCAAAACGTTTGGGTATTCGAATAGTGTGTGATGAGTAAAGCAATTGTAATATCATCCAACAACATAGGCTTTTTTAGAAGTGTTTTATTTGAAATTAAAAGAATGTCTTATATTTTGACATGCCATAACTCACAAATATTTTTAAAACGTGCAAAATTTGTAAATAATTGTTACAATATATCTAATAATTTTTTTGCCAAAATTCCTGAAAATAAGCTATATTTTTGCGCTTTATATCAGGCTTTTCTCGTAAAATCTATATCAACCAGCAGGGACACATTGATTTCTTTGTATCAATATTATGTCTCGCATAAGAATCTGGACCATCTGACGAATCACTGGCATACCTATTACGTCTTCACTTTCACTCGGGATACCCGCTTCTAATTGATTATGCGAATATTTTGCATGCGCAAAATGAAAGAAAAAGAAGGAACAGGTGCAATGTAATATTTGATGATCAAAAATATAAGTACTATAAAAAAAGAAAATAAATAAAAAAGGTATAAAAAAATGCATTTTTTTATGCTTTAAAAACTATTGTGAAGAAAATCTTACCTTTATTTTGCAATAGAATATTATTAATTACTAGTTTTTGCTGAATGATTTTTTTTTACTGGATTGTTAAAGTTAATTTGTTCAGAAAATTAAAAATTTTGATAAATTATTCTGCAGAAAAATATTTTATAATGGACTTTTATAATAAACTTTTAATAACATTTAATAATATTTATTGTAGTATTTTTTGTTCTCCAGAAAAATGAAAAAAGTAGAGATTTTCAGAATTTTTTTCCTTTATTGTGTAAAGTTCACTTTGGAGTCTGATTTCCGGTTTAATATTTGTGTCGAAGAAATGTCATCATTTTAGTACTACGTAAAGTATACAGAGTACAGAATTGGCAATGTTTTGTGCACGTTGTTGTAATACCGACTTTAACCCAGTACTTTCTCCAGACGATTGCCGCTGATCCACGACACAGGAATTACGTAATCTCTGACATAACCTTCGCCACGCCGTCAAGAGACATTACGCCATATCCCGAGACATTATATCGGCGAAAACCAATGTGCGCGTCGTTTCACATTACATTCGGAAACGCGAATTGTTTCTCTAATTTGATTACTATTATACTCTTAGGAGTGGCGAAATTTGGCATGCTTTTATAAATATAAATTTTTGCTTGAAGAACAGTGTGATGGATAGTAATATAAAAGATATCGCGGCAACTATTTTATATTTAATAAAATTTTTTATACAAAAATTCTACGTTTAGTCTCGATTTTAACTTTTAGTGTCAAAATTTCTAAATTTATTTATTATTTTGAATTTTTTGCAATTAATATTTTTAATTCATAAACTTTTGAATTTTCTCTAAATATTCTGATATTAAATAATAATTAATAAGTACATACAATTTTTACTATTATGATATCAAAATAGAAAGTTATATTTTTTGACAAAATTGTATTTATTAAAAACCAAAAAATAAATTATCTAAATATTTTGATAGGAAAAATCATGATTTACTATTTTTTTGGGAAGTGCTTTGCTAATTCTGATCGTCGATAAACATTCTCGCTCTATTTATAATAATTATAGATAAGAATTTATGTAAATTTATATTTTTATGTATCAGTTTTTTATATGTGCTGGCTATGACGTCTATGATTATAATAATTTTTACGGTTGATTCACTTATAATTGCCGACAATAATTATGTATGAGAATGTATATATGTAGCAAGATTATATATATGTAGCAAAATATACGATATATTTTAGATATTATTTAAAATAATATATTATTGAATCAAGATGTTAACATTCTAATCATAAAATTTGCAATTTGCGGAAATCAACTCTAGCTTTGATCAAATTTTATCGCGAAGAAGTTTGCGTGGTTACAGGTGGATAGTCGCAAATGTAATCAAAACAACGGGCTTCCGTCACGTAATCGTATATTGTACGTGTTCATTGTTTGTCTGTGTTCATATTTCTTCAGATTATGACGAAAGAGAAAGGCAGATACGCTCGAGATGTTTGGCGGAAAATGCGAATGAAAACACGAAGTAAGATTATACCTGCGCGTAATCATTTCCTATTATTTATTACACATATTTATCACAAATGCATAAAAATATGAAGCAAAAATTGACTTTTTAAAATTAAGAAATATATAGTTTAAGATATTAAATTATTGATAATAATTATTAGCAATAAAAACAGTAACAAACTTTTCTTGAAATGCGCGGCACATTAATTTCTTTTTTCGTGATGTTTTACTTTTAGATTCCAATAACATTTATCGAATAATGGCATAATATTTTAAAAATTGCAACTATTCTGAGATTAAAGTGCAACTAAAAATTTTAAATTGTATTAATATTATAAATAGCAGTAATAATACAAAATTAAAATTATGACTCTTACTTTTTGTTACTTAAGAAAGTAGAATAGAAAATCTTTTAAATTTGAATAAATTGAGCATTTTAAGTTTGAATAATATTTGACATAGTATTCCGAATATGCGGAAATATTAACGTTTTCAAGAGTTGTTAGCTATTTGAATTGCAATTTCGATGGAAAGTAATCTTCAGTATCTGCACGTATTACAGCGTCATCTGATCATGGATGATCAGATAATTAATGAATATTACCACGGCGATATCTATGACTCACAAGCTCGCGCAATGCATAGCAATCAATACAGCGTTTCTAGCAACACTTTGGAGGATAAAGTGTACATATTCAATTCGGAGAAAAATATTACACATGACTTACGGATAGCGAAATTCGGCTCTTTGAGCCCGTTGTTAGCCTCCGTGACGTTCTTATCCTCGCAGGACACGAAACCGCCAAGACAGCAGAATCCTAAGAGCAGGACGAAAGCTATCCTCGCGGAGGCCATCCTGACAGCGCTCTTTTTCGGGAAATACGACACTCCTCACTTTCTCGTTCTGATTATGTCTGCAAAAATGCGAATAGAGATCCTTAGCGATCACGCCGCTGCGATCGATTAGCCCTCGCGAGGGACACTTGCAAGAAGGCACTAAGGTACATGTAATGTACTTTTAACTGAAAAACCGGCAGCGTTTCTGGCACGAGGGTGAAACAAGAAACATAATCGTGATGGGTATACAATATCGTTATAATCGAGAGAGAAAAAAAAAATAAACGCGAGATAAGGAATGCAAAAGGATGGAAGGGTCCCACCGACTGCTGGATAGATACGTACTTTGTGATAAACTAAGAACAAGACCGGTTCATATTCTGTCTTATATGCGCGGAGTCCCCCTACTCCGAAAAGGTGCCACTACCGCCCGCTGCCCGCCTCTTTCTACATCTACCACGTTCAGCACCGATCGTTTTTAATATTTTACATATACATAAAATTTACATGTACAATTGCGATAAATGTATCATTAATGAACTATCACTGTTCGATTTATAGCGTAATTTTATATTTACGACTAACAGAATTCTTTGTAAACGTGCTGGTATCTTTGTAACATTTTTTTTCTTTTGCTTTATGATTTATTTTTTCAATAATATTATTTTATGATTTACCTTGACATCATATTGCGACAACTTATCACTATTTTTACACATTTATTTTAAAAATTTTTGTAATTTTAATTAAGGGATAATTAACTAAAAAATATATTTGTATTTTATTATTATATACTAATACTATTTTTATTATTATGCTATTATTAATACTATTTTTATTACTATATACTAATGAATGCTGTCGCAGTTATAAAATACATAGAATCTAAAAAGGAGTTGAATTGTTTTATATGACATTGAAATTGAACATTGAAATTTTAACATTGAGAAGGTTAATAACATTGAGAAGGTTAATAACATAGTTTGTAGCAAGGCTGCTATCAATTGGCAATGATATCATTAATAAAAGATTGTGCTCATTAATTATGCATTCTGTAAATTCGTACTTTTTGCAAAAAGTAAATCTATGAAATTTGATTTGATTAAGAATTCTTATCAAATCAAATCTATTTCTTAAGAAATAAGATTTAGACGAAGTTCATAAAAAGTATTTATTACAAATTCCTATTTTTATCTTACAAGATTTATATGATTCCATTGAAACTCACAAGAAATGGCACAATAATATTTGTTGAGTTTTCTTGATTTATGAAAAAAATTAATTGCAGTATTTTAATTAGACGATTAGAAAGAAACAAAATGAGATATTTCGTATATTGCACAAATAAATTTTAGAGTGTTAATGCTAAAGTTATTATTTTAAAATTTTAAATAACGTGTATAGGATAATTTAGAATATTTATTTTACGATAACAGAAAATTTGTATTTAGTTAATGCTTTTATTTATCTCTTAAAAGTTGTAGGTTTTGAATGTAGTAATAAGTAGTAATAAGAATGTAATAGGTAATAAAAAGTGACACGAGGTAATTAAATAAGTAATAAAAAGTGTCATTAGGCAATTAAATTGCTTTTGTTTATAATAGTTCTATAATAGTTGAAATTTGAAGTCCAAGGAGCTAAGATTGGAAAATAATTGCAATTTTAATGTCTGCAATTTTATGAAACGTTTTCTGAAATAAATTATTTTATTATATATTGATTATTATTTAAAAACTTATTTCGTGCTTTATCTAACTATGTTATTCGTGTTTATTAACAATATCAGTTTTGTTCAATTTCATAAAAATGTGAAAAAACAAGATTTTTAGAAGATTTTTTTGTACGAGTTCAAAATAATGCCGAAGTAACTTGGCCGAGATGCAGCGCAAACCACTCGAAACATCAACAAAGTGTAGAACGAGAGAAACGCTTATGCCCTATCTACACCAAAGGATAATCCTGCTTGTGACTCATCCGAGCGAGTAATGTAGACGACCGAAAATCATACTGAAGTTGGTTTTCAATCGTACCAACTCAAAAAAGCAAATCACTCATTAGAATATTTGCATATAAAAAGCAAAAATATTTCTATAAAAAATAATCTTCTGTCGAACAGAATAACAATTCGAGTTACCTTAGATCGGATGAAAGTTTGTTTTATAGGTCAGGTACTGAAATTATTACCGGTTTTAAAGTCAACGGTACCAATATAACAACACTAAAATTGTACTTAGTGTAGACGGGCGAAAGTGATCGGATGAGCCACAAGTAGAATTATCCTTCGGTGTAGATAGGGCATTACGAACGAATTGATTTAAAACATTTTCTGATAAAGACGTTAGCCTTGTAGATCGTGAGGGTCGTGGGCAACCTTCTTTAGCGGACAATGATCCATTGAAGTGGTGGAAACCAATCCACGTACAGTTCGTGATCTTGTGGAAGAGTGGAAAAAAACAACAACTGAAGGCCATTAGAAAGTAATCAGGAAGAGAAAAAAGGGCTCGGAAAGTGGATTTTTCTATGTCAGTTGATCGTCGTCTAAAGAATGTTGTTCGTAACCTTCACGATTTTCAAGGGTAACATCTTCAGCGTAAAATTTTTGAATCAATGTTGGACTGTTTGTTAACACTTCACTCGTTCTACACTTCGTTGATATGAGCTGTTTACGCTGCACTGCGCCCAAGCTTGAACTCATAGAAGAAAATCTTCCGAAAACCTTGTTTTTCTATATTTTTCCAACGGTCTAAAATTGAGCAAAACAGATATTGTTATTAAACACAAATAACATAGTTAGATAGAGCACGAAATAAGCACGATATAATCAATTATATAATAAAAATATTTATATATTTGTAAGTTATTTTATCAAAATACGTTTCATAAAATTGCAGAAATACCGCAACCAATACCGCAATTATTTTCTGGTCAACGTAATATATATTTTTTTACAAAATATATAGTATATATAGTGTAGTATATTTAAAATATGGTAAAATATAATATATAATATAGTTAATTATATATACGACAGCTTTTGTTGAAAGATATCTTTTTTAATATATCTATACGACAGTTTTATGTACAAATATTTTATAGAAGAGTTTTATAGAAATAGTTTACAACTTTTTTCATAGTTCTTTAGTCCCACTTGGTGCCATTTTCTGATATCATATTTTTTTGTAGAAAGTATATGTAATAGCTTTTTTGAAAATTTTAATATATACGACTAGTTTTTTCAAAAGGTTTTGATATATACGACAGGTTTTTTTGAAAGGTTTAATATATACGACAATTTTTTTGAAAGGTAAAACAATACTGTTTTGTTTTGTGATAAAATTGATTGGAAATTATAAATGTTGAAACTAATTTAGAATCTGTCAAAAAAGCACACGTTTCAAGACTCTAGTATGATTTGTCTAAAATAAATAAAAGTAAATATGAAAGTTTAATATTTCTGTTCTATGTATCCTAAATTAGTTCCAACAATATTTATAATTTCCAGTCAATTTTATCTGTCAAAAAAGCACACGGCTCAAGACTTCAGTATAATTTGTCTAAAATAAATAAAATTAAATATCAAAGTTTAATATTGTTCTATGTATCCTTAATTAGTTTCAACAATATTTATAATTTTCAGTCAATTTTATTTTGTGTATTACAAGGTTTCTTGTAAAGTTTATGTTTATAATTTTTGTTTCCTATTTTCTATGGATATACAATTGACTGGAAATTATAAATATTGGAACTAATTTAGGATAACTACAAAAAGTGACTTATGCTATATTTTTTTATATATAAAATTGACTGGAAATTATAAATATTGTTAGAACTAATTTAGAATACGTAGAACTGAAATATTAAACTTTAAGATATTTAATTTTATTTATTTTAGACAAATCATACACTAAAGCTTTTTGACAGAATGTATGGTAAAATTAAAATACAACACTTATAACCTATATACATATACACTTATTTCACTTAATACACTTATAACGAATTTGATCACTCGCATTACACTGCACTACACTGCTCTGGTGAACACTAATAAAAAACTGGTGAACACTAAGCAGCCTTGAGTGTGCACCAGTGCAATGTAGTGCGAATGGCCCAATTCGCTATTATTCTTTTGAAAATGTGTCAAAATCTTCTGAAAGGATATTTGGTAATAAGCGCGGCTATCTGTGATAGCGCTACCAACACAAACCTAACTATCAACATATCAATAGCCATCTAGTGTAAAAAATGATAACTGTACATCCTAGAAAATTAATAATAATTTTTGACATTTCGACTTTGGACTTTTATATGTTTATTTATAGAGCACGTAGAGCAAAAACAAGAATACTTTTATTATATATTTTGGGTATGCGCTATCGATTGAGGCTATTATCAACTCTATCGGCTCAGGCATTATTGAATTCCGATAATCTCGGCTCTCTGGGCTCTTTGGGCTCGCGTAAAGATACACGTTTGGTCTCGCGCTGCGCGTGCACTTGGCGCGAGACACTACCGTGTCTCTTGATAAAGTTCCATTGTTTCTTCCGCTCTGTTTTCTTTGTGTTTCTTGAATTATATGCAACGTAAGAATGAATTACATGAAAATGCAAAGCAATTTGCATTTTAATAAATAAATCGATCGCATTGCAGCAATTATTCCATATTTGTATAATTGCATTTTATGCGCTATATTGTAATAATTTTTTGTGAAAATAAAAAAGTGATTAAATTTTCTCTTTATCTTCTATAATCATTAGAAATGTAAAATACATGGAATGCCTAATAATGTTACTTATACTTCTGTCTGTGTGTGTGTGTGTGTTTCAAAAATATAAATATTAAATATTTTACAAATACAATATAATAGAACAGCATTAAGAGTCGTCACAGGATTTTAGTGCAAAATTTTTAATTTTTCTTAAAGAAATTAATTAAATAGTTTACAGTTAAATATTTTAAATATAAATATAAAGTTTGATTGTTTCTTCGAATTTATCTTTCGCAGAACTTTGTTTTCTTTGTGTTTCTTGAATCATGTATAACGTAAGAATGAATTACGTGGAAATGCAAAGCAATTTGCATTTTAATAAATAAATCGAACGCATTACAACAGTTATTCTATATTTGCATAATTGCATCTTGTGCGTACATTACAATAACTTTTTGTGGAAACCAAAAAAGCCTTGCTTGCGTTAAATCCTTGCTTTATCTTCTATAATTATTAGAAATACATATAAAATAAATAAAATGCCTAATGATGCTACTTGCGTTTCTGTTTTAAAAATATAAATGTTAATTGTTTTAAATGTAAATATTAAATATAAGTAATTAATGTCAAAATGTATGTAAATAAATAATTGCATTACTATATTATCACTCTTAAAAATATTGTTATATATTTATTTATTATTATTTATTTTTTATATTAATTACACAATGTTTATTATTTCTATGTTGCTTATTTTGTAAAAAACAACTAAATATTATATAAATACATATTTACTACTAAGTGTGGAGAATTATAATTATTCGTATAATGCGATAAAATGTCATAAATGCTTACTAAGAAATGTGACTTGACAGAATTTACGGAAAAAACTTGACGAAAAAAAGTAATAATACAGATGTACGTAACATAATTTTTGCTTAAGACTAAATCCGTATGAAAATGTGAATAAAATGATAAAAAAATCATACTTTTTAAAAAATAAGATATATGGAAATACTGTTTTTCCATGCAAATAGTTTAATATCATGAAGTGTGTTGTTCCAACGCTTCAAGAATACGATCGAACGAGTTCCGACAGCCTGAGAGATGATTTTCAGGTGTGCGAGTATGTAATAATGGTCAGCGGTTTGAAGGAAACTTAATTGATTAGACGTGGATGTATCACACAATTAATTTGAATATATTGTATGTTATATACCAAGCATAATATTACATGTATAAGATGGATGAACATTTTTGTGAATACGATATATGCAATTATTAAGACATAATTCTTTATAAGTATAAGTTTCAACAATTAAATTTATTTAAAAAAATATAGTTGCTATCAAAAAATAAATAACTATCTAATTCAAGAAAAAATTATATTGGAATTAGTGTTTTCTGTGGTGAAGCAAATTGCTAAATTGCCTCTGCAAATAAATGATCTAAATACACACTTTTATAGGCTTTTTTTATCATACTGCAATTAAAATGCTGACGTGATGCTGGTGTGATGTCAGCAAATACTGTACAAAATCTAGATTACATATGTATGTATTTTTTTTAAATTAAAAATTATACATATCAGAGTTTGACATACTTACTGTAGCATAGTTTTAAAGATACAGGCACATATTTAAGCTGCAGAAGATTTATTTTCTATGTTTAATTCGTTTTTATCGTTTGTTTTTGTTCAAAATAATAAACAAGTTTACACTTTAAGCTGTCACATTGTTAAAATCTTACAATTTTAAACTATATTTAAGGGAATTTTTGACAAATTATCTTTTATATTTTTTAAATTAATTGTAAATAGATATATTCTTTTATTTTATACAATTATATATTTATTAACTATTATTAATTATAAATATATTAATCAACTTATTATTAATTATAATTAAGTTAATCAACTCTTATTTTTAAAAATAAAATTAAATATATTTATTTAATTACAAATTTATTTATAAAATCTTAATAACTGTAAAAAATAAATATAAAACAACAATATATTTAAGGTGGCAACAACGTGTCCAGCGGAAATTTGGAATAAATCTTATTCGCAAATGTCTTAAACAATTCTGAAACTGTATTCTCGAGAGCTGGCTTTATTTCGGCCGCTACCATTTTCCAATTATTATTCAAAAAGAGATTCATAGCATCGGACAGAGTATTATCGCCATTAAATAAATTCTCCAGATTTATGTTGGCATGTCCAACGTCGAAGTCCACGTAAAAGTCGATCACGCGATAATGAGTCTCGTCAGTGTTTTGAGATTGATAACGTTCGCCTTGGATGGTGGCTACGACGTCGATATCCGTGAAATTGCCACGCGCCAATCCGTTTCCGGTTATGGGTAACAACAGGATTTTTCCCTCCATGTTATAGTGCGCGATCATTTCAAGACGTGGAAGATGCAGTTTTAATCTAACGCGATTCTTATCGACGTCAACTCTGAAAAAGACAGCACGCAATTAATGCAATTCTATCAGTATAGTCAAGTTTTTTACAATGAGAAAAAAGTTTACCGAGCTTGTCATTTCAATTTAAATAAATTTAAGCTTGCTTCTAAATTCAGCCTATCACTAGACTTACTTGACGCTCTTTAAAATGAAACTCGTTCCGCCTTGAACCTCGATGTCGGTATACGTCGATTTAATGGAAATTGGACCAGCCATCTGACTGATTTCGATCCGCGGCACGCGAAGCGGCTCGCAAGGTGGTATTTGTAATGCTGGAATGCCTGTCTTCAAGTAAGGCCGTAACGAGTCGATGCTTCGTTTTACGCATTCGTTCAGATTCGGATCGCTGCGGTGACATATCTTCAGAAACGTCGCTAAAAAAAGTATTCTGCAATTTTACTCGCAAATTTTGCCATACAGTAACATTTGTACAGCGTTTACAAATTGTTGAAAGACACATTAAAATTTTGAAATTATTTGCTACACGCTATTTTATTGAGCATAATTGATGTGGACATAAGATATCGGGTGGAAAATTTCAGTTTTATGGAATATTTTTATAAGATAAACGTCTTGTGATGATCGCATATTGCGTTAAAATAATATGATATGATTCTCTTTGGAAAGATTAAATATTAATTTTGTTATCCATTTTATAAAGCGATCACACAGTAGTACTTACGTATATTTCGAGATTTTACTGCAACAATGCTGGCTGTTATAAATAAGAATGCAAGAATATTCGCATTGATGTGCATTGTGGCTGCGATGAACTCCACGCGTAGAATAACTCATCGGTGCGCCAAAATGCTGAATATACATATGTGTGAATTTTACAATCAATTGGCAATGCGCTGATTGTGCAATTTCGAGATTTCACCTTACGTTGTACCTTTTTCACTTGATGAACTAATACGCTTGTTTTTAACTCGTGAAGTAATTTATTTTTCGTTTTCGTGACACAATTAAATTTACGTTCATGCAATAAAGGCGCAATTTAATTTTCAATATTTTTACCAATGCTCTGACTCTTCGAAACAAGAAATTTATTCAACGTGATTTGTGATAACGATCTATCGTGATCGCAGGCGGGAGGCCGTCGGAGGACCTTGCTCTGTATTAGATCATTGCGCAATGGAGGAATTTAAGGAAATGTCATGCGCGCCGAAGAAAATGTATCAACGTCTGACTAAGCCACTTACAATTAGTTAGCCAGCATCATATAAGATTGGTCCATGGCCCAGATCGTCTATATCCTTCCACGATCAACTATAAAAATGCCCTGCGAGTGCATCGCCGACTTGCAGTCAGCCTATGCTTGCGCGCATATCCTTCGATTCTTCTCACATATTAATTGACTGATCTCGCAAAATATCGGCACTTTCAATATGCTGCCTAAAATCATCGTAGAACTAACGACGCGCAATCTATGTTGAATGGAATGCTGATATGCACAATCATCGCGTGCATCTTGTTGATATTCGTCGTCATCAGTATCGTACTAGTGTTAATTTATAAACCGATCTACGTTTGGGAGATTGACATACCGTATTGAAGAATCTGAAAAATATTTCTCTAAATTCTGCGTTCGTAATAAATTTGATATTTTCTGTCAACGAATTTGGAGGCCACGATTGCTTTGTGAAATAACCAGCCATCAAATCGACAAAATGAGAAGACCGATGGAACGGAATGTGCTTCACGTGCTTCTGATACTTTTCACAGCGACGCTGGCGAGATGCGCTTTGCTGGAGATGTCTCGGATGCTCTGGAACAGGACGGTGTCCGGAGGTCTGACGAAGGTAGGCAGACTGGACCCGTTGAGAGTGCCGGTGATCAAGGTGGATCAGTCCGAAGGCGACACCAATTACAGAATAATCCTGAGAAATCTGGAGATCGTCGGTCTCAACGAGTCGACTTTGGAGAGCATCTACGTAGCTCGCGGCGCACCGAAGTCTAACTTGAGCGAGCTCGAGGCTGGATATGTGAGTTACAGCGACCTCAGAGACGTGGATTCTGTCAAGTATCAATTTCACACTATGATGAGGGAACCCAGTGCGCCGAGGGAGAGCTTCGAAACCGTGATTTCGCCTGTGAATCGCGCCACTGACATCAGGCCCTCATCGCGCTATCAAGAAGGTCGCTTCGACAGATTGCAACAGGATCAATACGGCTCCAGGATATACGAACACAATCCGCAATACGACCGACAGATACCTTTTCGACCTGACGCGACGTCCGATGGCTTTTACAGAGGCAATTTGAGAGCAACGAGCGACGATGGGGCTGGAAACTTCGGAAAGCGTCCGGCTTATGTTCAATCCGCTTATGCACAGAGAGCGAGAGACTTCCGAGGACATCAAAGAAGTTCGTACGACGAAGACTGCGAAGGTACAGCGGGCTCACAATTCACTGGAAATCCGAAAAACAGCCGGCAGTACGAACAACGACAAAGTGGCAGACGAGGCGAGGATGTCGAAGTGAGATTGCAATTTTAATTTATTTTATATATTATAATTTATAATTAATTTAAATAAAAATCAATCTTTTTTAATTAACACAAATAAGAAATTAGTAAAATTATATTATATAATCTTCTTACGTAAGTCGTGTAATTTTCAAAACAGAATAGTAGTAAGATAAGTTGTAAGATAATATGCAGCGACTTTCAAGCCACAAAATTTGAAAACAGGTTTCTGCATCGGAAACAGTGGAGACTAGGTTGAAAAATCGGGGTGATGCAAGAGCGCCTGCGTTGTATAACAGAGAACAGTTTCCGCAATCGGATATCGTAGCTTCAGGCAATTCTAGATTATCGACAGATAGAATGAAAGAGCGATCGGGGTATATCGATATTGTCTACGCGGATGATAAGGCTAACGGAAGCGTAAAACATTTCGGAAATCTGGGTGTCGATTCCAAAGAGAATCGACGAGTATATGGCACCGAGGATGTCATAAAGGTATTATTATTTTATTTGTAAGTTTATAATCAAAGAGATATATTTTTATTAAACAGGCAAATTTATCTATTTGGCCAAACAAATATTTTTCAAAATTATTAATTTTTTATATAAATACATTTTATCTTCTTTTAATAATAGTATTATTACATACTATTTTTAAAATATATTTTTATCTTATTTTATATTAACAAACTGAAATTAATTATTATTCATACTTTTTATCAAAATTGTTAAATTTTTTATAAAACTTATAAGCTCCAATTTAATTTTTAAATTTTGTATTCCACAGTCTTATATTTTTAATTCTGAATTTTTCTTAAGCTTCTTGAAAAATCGTGTTATAGAATATTCGGGATAGCACAAGATTTATCATATACAATTTCACGGAAGGCGAAGCCTTGAGGAAAAGAAACGACATAGTTAAAGCTGCTATGGAAGCTAAAAGATTAAAAGATTTAATGAGGTATGCGAAAAGCTATCAGGAACAACAAGGATACTTTGAGGAAGGCATGCAGTTAATCTATCATTACGGCGGAATGAACGTGAAAGATGATAGCGTTTCCCAGAATATAAAGCTCAACGACACCAAGAGAATAAAGCGGGCGCATTCTGAAGAAGTAGCTGAAGTAAGATCGACCATTTATTTAACTGCATAGATTTACTCAATAAAAAATAAATTGTTTAAAGTGTTCTTTAATATTGTTTTATGTATCCGTAAATTAATGAAAGAGAATTTTCACATGCTATACGCTCTAAATATATTCTAGGATGACGTGATGCATGTGATTTTGAGAATACGCGTGCCGTTACTTCGCGTAAAGTCTCAGTATACACTTACGGGCAAGGTGGGAAGAGAAATGTTACGTGGCAACGGCCTGTTCGCTGGAAACTTTAGTAAGAAAAATAATCGCACAAATCATTACGAAATTTTGTGTGAGATTGTAAAGATAGAAATGATAATAATATACTTTTGTTATGCTAATAGCTGAGGTAGTGGGTGATTTCACGCTAGAATTGAAGAAAATCAACGAAGAGCTAATGATCGTTCGCGCTGCCAGAGCGAAACTATCCTCCAAGGACAAGAAGATTAGTCTGCAAGGTATAAATGAGAAGGGGCCAGTACAAGCTATTCTCAGTCACGGTAAGTAACACTAATAATTGCATTATTAAGCGAAAACGTATCTAATCTTTTTTTCAAATTAATTATTCTGATTTAAAAAAATATTTCTTAACATAGCACAAATTTTCCAACTGAAACATTTACACATTTCGTTGAAGAGGCTGTCCAAAATAATTAAGTTGCATCTTAAAAGTAGCATAAAAACTAATTTTATAATTTATGAAATCTTCATTATTTAGAAATAGTCGTGTTATGAAATAATGTTGAAATATTCATCTCCTTAGCTTGCTACGATATCGACTACATATTTCAAACTAAATAATCAAATTTCAATATTATTTTATTTTATTATTTTCAAAGAAAATAAAATATTAGTGGTCGATATTTTTCCAATCAACCGGTAAGATAAATCAATCGGTAACCGGTCGATTGTAAGACCGATCCTTGACGATTGCGCGAAGACGCATTTGTTTCTGTTACGTATTTCTTCCGTAATTACTTGGCAGAATAAAAAGTCGGATTCTTTCGTGGAAAGTCGTCTCCAAACCACGACACGCGATATGGCGATACCTCTTATCGAACAGGCAATCCCACGACAATTATATAAAAAGTACATAGCGGAGAAAAGTGCAATATCGCGAAGGATGTCGCGCCGTATTCTAAATTCTACACCGCGCGCCCGTTTGTCACCGTGATCTCGAGAACGAGTAGAAACGAGAATGTGACCGCGCGCACTGTATCGCGACATCGCGGAACGTCGGAGCCGAGATCGCCGCTGAGTAAAAGTCCGCCTCCGCTTTCTTGCGACCGAACGTGCCCGTAACGAACCGATCTCGCGCGCGAGATATTAACTCGATTAATTTCTCATTCACGCTGACTTTCATCCTTTACAGGTTTAATGGCTGCGGAGGCAGTCGCCGCGATGCTCGCTGACGACTTCGCGACCAAAGGTCTCAGCGAAAAAACAGCCGACGCGCTGATCTATAGGATGTACAAGGATTTACCGGTTAATTAATCGATTTGCTTGGCTGGTCAGGTATTCGGAAACGGTCGAGAACTTTGCGCCTCCGGTTCTGTTCGCCGATTTCACGTATACTTTTTTATTATAGACGTTTAATTATTTATTCAATTCACTTCTTTATTTGCAAATTTGTCCGGATTTATTTATTTATTATTAGAATATTGATTTATTTGTTTAGAGGTTACAATTTTAAATTACAATGATGTGCTTTAATAGCGTCTATTAGCATTGTGCACGCGCGTTTATCACTTTCCCTACAATTTATTTTTCTTTATTTATTTATTTGCATATTGAATAAATATTGTATACGCAAGGTATTTTAATTTAGAATGAATGGGTATTTTAACGTTACTTCCGTTGAAGTAAACGTGTGTCAATAAAATAATTCTTAACAGGAGAGAAGAGAAATATCTCGTCGAAACTTTTCCTTACACCACGCACGGAAGAGAGATGAGCCGATATTTTTTTGCGTAATCGCATTTGGGAAATTCAAGTTCTATTCTTGATTCAGCCGTGGGGAAAGTCGCGTGTCTTGTGTTCCGGAGTTCTACATAAATAGCTCTACCTTGGGTTTACATAATAATTTAATCTACATATTAATTTAATCTGTGCAAACAGGTTTATTTTTAATTGTTCATTTGCAAGTAATTACACAATAGTGCATTTTGGACTCACAATAATTGAAGAACGTAGACTTTTTATAAATAAATCTTGATCGAATCAACTTTTCAGTATTCGCAATCGTTTACTGCAAACGTTTTTTTTGATTGTTCTGTGAGCGTTATTTTTTACAAATTTTATATTATACGGGAAAGGATTGGGTAACATCGATGCAACAAGGACATGATAGTTAATAATTATTTACATACGAGACGATTACTCTGAATCTTGGCTAACCGCAGGAGCTGCTAAGTGTGGAAAATCAATGCGAATGATCACATCGATCGGTCGCATGTACTGGACTGTGACTGATTATTCATAGATTTCCATATATGAAAACTTTATTTGTCAGTTGCGATCCCGATAACGGTTGAAAGTGTTATGCGCACAGCTGCCGGTAAATAAAGGAGTTCTCGGTAAGATTTATGTTTAATTGAGTAACTTTTCTCCCTATAATGCAAAGTACATGACCGCGGATCACAGCCCTGGCCTATGGCTTGAAAGTGTTGACATTTCTAAGCTTCAGTATCGTAATCAGTAGCGTAATTTTGCACGTATCTTTTGTACGCGGGTTGTAACTCTAATCTCACATATGTAACACTTACCACATGCATATTACCACAGCTCAGTATGCATCTTCATTACGTAATTAATGCAGTATTACGTAATTGATGAATGCTTGTTACATGCTTTCGTGCGGATGCGAGTGGGATTTTCCTTTCTTCGCCTGATTCATGTTGACATTTATTGAGATTCGATTGACACGGTTTTTGCGTATTAGTTGGATGAAGCAATTTTTATATCGACAATGCTGCATTTCAAATGAAATCGTATAAAAACACGAGAGGTTATAAAAAGTCGGCAGAGCCGGCTTGTATGTTAATCGCCTGAAAAATTGAGTAAAAAATTGATGGTTCCCAATCAAACAAAGAAGAACATTACGTCGGCAAGCCATGGAAAACAGCCATAGATCCGAAAGGATCACTATCCTTGAATGAGCGCTAATAGCCTCGTCATCCGGCTGAAATTATACGTTACTTCATGGAGTTTCTTTCAGGACGCGCATATATATGTGTACAGAGAAAAAAATGACACTCCGTGTAACGGAGTGGCGGCATTTCGAAAGTCAACGATTCCGCCTTAAAAGCACGATGCGTACTCAGCCGCGCAATGCAGCCGCACGTACCGTTCTCATCCTTGGACGTCGTGAAAAAGAGCGCGTGTCATTCGCGAAGACGCCGCGAGATTGTAATCCTTCGGAACTTGGTAGTTTCCCGCAATTCTGGCGAACGCACCACGCAGACCACTGTGTGCGCTGCATTTTGCACGCGTGTGCGTGTATATGTACACGTATGTCCAGTCTGGCTACGGCCCTGACTGAGTTAAAAGGAGGCATTCTACCGTGATAAATTCACTATCGCTACCGGCCAAGTGGGGTGTCACGCGCACGGAGAAAGTGCACTTACTTTATATATACCCGCACGACGGGCCATCGTACGCATTTTCGATATCGCTGTCGCTAATTGCACCGCATCTCGCGAGAGGAGCCGACAATCGAATTTCGTCGCGCAAGCAAAATCATCGGGGAAGATGATGCTGATCGGGCTCGTGTTGTTCGCCGCGTCGGCCAGAACCGCCGTGTCGGAGCTGCGTAAGTCGTCTTCGTTACTGAATTATTTATTGACTAAACAATGAAGCATCAATGACCTTTTTACTCGTTTGATAACAACTCATAATTTGTGCAATTGTTATAATAAATATTGTGTTCTTTCTCTCTTGTATTATCGTCTGACAACATAAAATCAGTATAATTATCATTTATTTGTTATTACAGGTTTCGTGTATTCTTATTTATCCGGTTTCTTCTTTTTTATTCTATATCACAAATTAAAGATTTTAAAACGGAATCTGATTTACAAACAGGATGTTGCGTAATGATATCGATATGATAATCGAGAGAAGAAGATTTCGTATACATGAAAATACATGAAAAAAATTTTTTGTACAAAACACTTTTAAAAAATGTGTGACATTAAAACTAGTAGAAATACTTGATGAGTTTTTAAAATCAGTTTTTTTTAAACAATAGATCGTATTATTAAATTTTATTCTTTTTTATATGAATATTTTTAAACTTATGTTTGCATTCATTGAAATTATATTTTTTTTCTTGCTTCTCATTAATCAATTCGGTAAGTAGTTTATGTAAAATGTATGTGAAACGCATACATTATTGGAATAAGTGGTTTGCTAGAATAATTAATTCTGAGAAATAACGTTATCTCCAATGGCTAAATAGGAATTTTTTCAACGACAGGCGTTACATGAATACTTCGCTTCTCACGAAAATAAAATGTAATAATAGAAATTCTAAAAATATAAAATGACGTTTTCCAATTTTTCCCACTGAAACAAAAACGTCTTCAAGATTGTACCGTTTTACACAATTGTACAAAATTGATTTCTTTTAAATTTATGCATTAATAGAAGCACAAAATTGCAACTTTTAAAACACAAAATTTGATTCATTACTAAATTAATAAAATTTTTCTATAATTTTTTCTCTAATTGCCACAGCTTATGCGATTATACATATAAATCAAAGAATATATTTTTTTTAATCATTAAGTTTAGTAATGTATATGTATAAATATAGACTAGTATTAAAGAAAAGTCATGATCATTGGAAAAAATCCCGCCGTAAAATCATATAATGTTTGACTACGTAAGTTTTCTAATTTTTATGAAAGTTTTTTTACAGCGGTTTTTTTATAGCGGTTCTTTACAGTGATATGATGTTTTTAATTTAATTTTCTAGCGATCAAAGATAATTGTTTCATCGAAACTATAATTAAAGTTATACGTGAAGTAGACTGCGATTTTTGATGCAATAGTTTTATATTTTTTCGCAATTTTTGCAATTTTTGCGTGTAGATACATATACGATTTTATAAAAGCGTGACGATCTTCATTGAGAAATCGATAGAAAACCCGGAAGTATTGCGACATCATCAAAGGAAAATCGGATGCATATGCTTGTGCGATATGTTCCTACTCTTACATGTTGCATACGCAAGACAATGTAATTTGCAATTTAATCTTGCACTTTTACCTGTGCAATGCTTTACCTGTCGCCGCCATTAGTCGTGCGTGTAAAACGATACAATCTTGAGAAGACGTATTTGTTTCAACGGGAAAAACTGGTAAACATTATTTTATTCTTCTAGAATTTATTTTTATCACTTTTACTTTTATCATTACATTGTTCATGAGAAGCAAAGTGTTCATGTAACGTCTGTCGTTGATATTACAATTACTACGAATCCATTTTGATCATTGACAGTAAATATAATAATTTGTGATTTAGAAAAAAGATTAAAATTAATTAACAATTATCAGGCTCATTGATAATTAAAACAAGAGTAAAAAACAATTTTGTAGAACAAATTGCACATTTAAACATACTAGAGATAAAAAATTGATAGAGATTTGTTTTTTTTTAAATATATTTTATTTTTTTCTTCTCTAAAATTAGGACTGAATTATTACCGAACATCATTATTTATCTTTGTCAGTATCTTATTTTATGTATTTTTATCGATACTTCGATTTTAGTTTAACAATTTACGGAGAAATCAAGAAAGATTATCTTATTTTCTAAATCAAGAAGTCAGTCTTCGTATTTGCTCTAGTGAATGAATTACCATATCTTTCGCTATTGCTCAAGAGTGGCCCGACGATCTATCCAGCGGTTAAAGTTTTTTTGATCGTTAACGCATCGTTTCACCGATACTTCACATGACACACACAAATTCGCTGTATATTAAATGATCAAAAAAAAAAAATTATTCACCGGTCGCCTTCGTAATTACACTTTCTACTACCGTGCACTTTCGATTTTAGGCCTGGTCGATCGATTGACCGGAAAAAAGCCGTTCTCTTAGTCATCGTCACGTTTTTATTATCGCGTTCGCTCAACCGACATTGTAACAGGATGCAATGCTTGCTTCAAAGATGCTTAATATCTGTTTTTCATAGCTCGATGACGTCACGTATCTTAGAAACAAGTACAATGTACCTGCAAAAGTCTTCTTTACTTTGATGTCTTTATTTAATCCTATTATTGCGTTGTTGCATATGTTATATTGCTTCTACATAATGTTTGAACAATTTTGAGGATAAAATATTGTTTGTTTACTATTAATTTAATTTAGTTTCTTCTTTCGCAGAATGAGAAGTTGATTTTTTAATTTATTTTAATAATATGTAGAAAGTTTCATAAGAAATAAAAATTAAGAATATGTTTTTAACTCTACATGGAAAGAAAATTTTTACTGAAAGATCTAAAAATTATGCCAAATAAAGATCTGTAAATTTTGTTGGACAATTAAAATTTATCAATAGAGTACTTGGTCAGTTTCGAATGTTCTATTGATAAATTTTGAATGTACAACAAAATTTATTTACAGATCTTTATCTGGCGTAATTTTTAGATCTTTCAGCAAAAGTGTTCTTTCCGTGTGTATTTTGGACGTCATTATATATCAATAACTATTTTTTTAATAATATGCTTTACAATATGCTCGGAAAACACTTTTTTTAAGAGAGTAAACTTATAATATATTAAATCTTTATTTTGAAAGTGGAAAGTATGGTTGGTGTATAATTATTATATATTTTATTATTCTTAGATTCTACAGATGGTTTCTATTAAACAATTTAATACTTTATTGCAAAAACACATATTAATTGGACTGTAATCGATATTTCCAGCTCCTGGAGTGACATCGTGTCCGCGAACGGATAATCCGCAGGAATATGACAAGTGTATTTTGAAACAGCTGCAAGCGCTCACCCCGCTCCTCGCCAAGGGAGTGCCTTCCTTGAAATTGCCGGCGTTAGATCCCTTATTTCTACCATCTTTAACTATAGATAGAAATCTAGACTCCTTGAAAATTAAGGCTAACATGAGTCAGACTCGCGTTTACGGCGCAACGAATTACATTGTACACGAACTTAAAGCGAATCCCAACGACTTGACGATTTTCATCAAGGTCCGATTACCTCACATTTACGTGAACGGAGAGTATGACGTTCAGGGAAGGTTGCTGTTGCTGCCTCTAAGCGGACTTGGTAACTTTAAGGGGAATTTCAGTAAGTCTCTTATGAAACCAAATTGATCTTATTAAACAGTGATAATGCACGATATTTAAATATCTTGATGTATTAAAGTTCAATCGTGTCATTTTACGTTTAACAATTTTAAGCGTTAAAAGTATTTTATATTGAAGTGCTATGGTAGAAGAAATCTAAAAGTTAGTCTTTTAAAATGCTGTCATATAACTTTCTTATGTCGTGTGATTTTTACAATTGTGTTTTTTCACTCTCCAGCTGACACTGAAGCTCAAGTAAACGTGCAAGGCAAGGAGGTCACCGATAAAAATGGTGTGCAGAGAATTGCGATCGACAAGTTGCTTACTAAAATTCGCATCGGTGATGGAAATATTAAACTGAAGGCACCTCCCGCTCACACGTTGGCCGGTACGGATTAGAATTCTGTTTAAAAGCTTATTTAATAACGGCATAAGAATTATATATTCCCTAAATATATTTGTTATTAACGAATCTTCAGATATTTGCTGCTCAAGTATGATTTTTAAATTTTTATAGCATTAATAACATAAATACGCAGCAAGAAAAGAGTTTCATGGCAAAAGAAAGATAAAGGACATGCTTTATGTCTTATACTTCCTGCATCTTATTTATTTACTTATTTATATTTATTTTTTACATTTTATTTAAAAATATATGCTTATTTCTATTTATTTTAGCTGAAGCCGCCGCGTCGTTCTTTAATGCAAATCCTCGCCTAGTTTTGGATATTGCGAGTCCAATTGCCGAGGATACTGCCGCGACTGTGAGCAAAGCTCTTGCTGCCAGAGCACTCAGTGTTCTCACTAAGAAAGAACTCGTTCCCTAGTTCTTCAATAAACGAATTTTGTTCGGCTTGTCTTTGGTAATATAAAATAGGACATGGATAATACGAGCATTAGTCGAGGTAACAGAAGTTAATGTTCTTCACTTTATCACTTTTTTATTTCTGCCGGTTAGTCGGCAAATTGTTGTTTTGTTTTAAAAAAATTATTTTATTTAATTAATAGGCGTATAGTCTCGAAAGAACGTTGTTTATTTTTATTTTTGTACATGAGAAGTACTGAAATGTTCGTTTAGCAGGCATTAAAGGAACAAAACATTACACATTCAACGTCTACTTCTTGTTTATTTCTCTACTTTCTTATCCACAAATTGTTAATTACATTTTTATATTTGTTATATATATATTATATATATTATCTATGACGCACAATTTTTTATCCGAAGTCAATTAAATCGCACATATAGAAAATGTGTTGCTTGAAAAAAAAAAAAAAAATTATTTTACATCGTAGCAGTTTAATTATCTGATTGAATAGCAGGTTTACTATATTATCTTATAAATTGTTTTTAAATATTCATGCAATATCACGAGATCGCAGAGAGACTAAATTTTGGACAATCATAATGTAACATAAAACTTGACTTCACATAAAAAATGGTCACTTCTAAAAAAAAAGAAAATAATTTAAAAACTTTTAGTTACATGTCAAGCGACAAATAAAAAGTATTATTTCAAATGTAATTCATAACTTCATAATTTTACTTACAAAAAGAACATTATTGCACAGTTCTTTTATAAATTTACAGTTCTTACGATATTTCATATTTGCGTCATCAATTTACACTTGTCGTAATTTACCGTTTTCTTAAAGCGATTGCTGATACATTTTAAATGATGAATAGAATGATTATAATGAGGATGTTGAACCAAAAATGTAAAACTTGTTCCTTGAAATGCACATGCGTATAATCATCTCACAATTAGTATCAATACATATTAGTCATCAATACGCTCGATTTAATAATAATCATTAGAATAACAATCTACAAATATACCAATTATTATTGTAACCGTTCATTATTTTTATTTGCGTTGCATTTTTTCACGAAGTCCGATTGTATTTGCATAACATTTAATAAAGTGCAATTATATTACAGTTAAAACTATGAATGCATATCCTTTTATAAGATTTAATCAGTTTATGATTATTGTATCTAATCTTTGATTTATAAATTCAATTTCTAAAAAAAGATAATAGCGTAAACCATTTTAATTTAAACACATTTCATTAAAAGTATTAAGTGTAGTCACGCTATATAAATTTAGCATATAATGATCTAAATTAGTAAATTATCTCGGCGTTTGATAATTAAAATACAAGAATTTTATCGATGTAATCACTATTAATTAAAGTACGATAATTGGACTACGATAATGCGAAAACTAAAGATGCAGATAAAAAAAGTTAGTATATGATGAATAATTTTTTAAGAGAAAGTTAGTATACAAAAAATAAGAAAAATTCATAAAGAGAGATTTTTTTTATTGTAAATCGAGCTTGTCAATCAATGTGTTAATAAAAAGCAATTAAGCGCAAACTGCATTATATACAGCTAGTTATATATTATAAATATATATATATATATATATATATATATATATATATATATATATATATATATATATATATATATATAATATTTATATATTATAAAAATATTATTAAAAAAATAAAAATCTTAATTAACATACATGAAAAGATGATGATTCTCGCTGTTTAAAAATTTGACTAACAAAAATCGAAATGTATCGATCTCAATAAGTTTGAGAGGTAAATTATTAAAGGGGAAACAGTTCATCGTATGTGAATTTTTCGGTGATCTTGTTGGCGATGTTCGTCAGGAGATCCGATAAAGAATTTTCGAGTTCAGGTGTTAGCTCTTCCACCAACAAATGACTATTAGCATTCACAACCTCGTTGCCAGCTGCTCCTGATTCGAAAGAAAAATAACAATTGCAGTATGATGCATGACGATTGAGGCGCGATTATATTTACTGCAAATTTCTTAAAACAAAAACGTATTAGAAAAACAAATAAAAATTTAAACATACCGAGAACTTCATCGCCGTTAAACAGATTGCCAAGATTAAAATGGGCTTTGCCTACCCTAATGTTAAATTTCATTTTCTCAAAGTTTATGTGGGTATTGTTATTCTTTAAAACTTTGTTAGCCTTCAAAAAGCAGTTGCTGTCGTAGCCAACTGTAAAATATATAGCAGATTATTCAGAGATAAAATATTTTACTTAAAATTTAATTTAAATTTTATTTTAATTAATTTTTTACCACACGCGCACATACGCGCGCGCACATGTTTTATTTATGTTTTAACAAGAAGTTAGACGACAAATTTTTTATAAACATGCAAGACTTACGGAAATTTCCAGTGACATTTCCTTCTCCAAACAATCTGATTAACAGAATTTGCGTATCTATTCGATATTTTCCACGAAACTCAAGCTTGGGGAAGTTGACTTTAAAAGTAATGATTATATTATCTTTTAAATCTACCTTTAAGTCTCGAATCTTGAATGTGGAAGGCCCATACACCTATTTGCACAATTTTTAATTGAAAAAAATTTTATATAATCTTTTCGTTATCTTTTCAACTATGTACATATATTTTATACTCTACTCTACATAAGCAAACCTAGTATAAAATGTTAAGTGTTAATGCAAGCTTCGATATACTATACCAACTTGTAAGTTCGAAATTAGGAAGTCAAGCTTCGCATTTTTGGGACCCTTTAATAGTTGTATACGCTTCAGTATAAACGGTTCGATTGTTGGAACATCTAATTCAGGAATTCCTGTAGTCAATTTCGGTCGTAGTTGCTCAATCGAATTAGCTACACACATATTTATGTTTGGATCGTTTCGACTGCATACTTTTATGTACGGTGCTGCAAGAAACGTAAAAACATTAATCTGTAAATTCTCTTTTAAATTTAAAGTCTCAAGAATTTTTGAATGTCACAATGAATAATGTGTGTGTGAGTGTGCGTAATATTATAAAGATACACGTTCGGTCTTGCGTTGCGCGTGAACTTGGCGCGAGACACTACCGTGTCTCTTGATATGTATATAAATGCCAGTATTGCAACATTCAACATTCTTCCACGAAAAATGAAAACTTCAAGCTGAAACGTTGTAATATTTTGAGCAAAATAAGAGTTCAACAAATGCATCGCTTTCGTATAATCATATTCAATGTTTTTTTCCTAACAAATTTTTTTCCCAGACTTACCGTATCACCCGTTAATAGCAGATTCCTGAGGTCATTTGGAGACGAAAATCTTAATATCAAAATGTCGAGACTACTATGGTATTTGAATGGGAAAGGCTTAAAGTTTATCAATTAGCTTGTCAGAATTTCGCGCGCTCAGGGACATCGCATCTCTAAAGGACTCTTGCACAACACTTTATTCAATACGTTTTATTCACTTCACTCAGCTCTTATTCACTTTATTCACTTTATTTACATTGTTCGCAATACTAACGAATTTACTAACGATAATAATTTCTAAATTGTATTAAAACGCGATGCGCGTCGAACTGTCAAAGCAGTCGTGCCATTGACAAATGACGTTTCTCATGTCATGAGAGAAAATCAATACTATCGGTACGAAGTATGATCTGCTACATAAAGTGTTGTGCAAGGGTCCTTTCGAGATGCAATGTCTCTGAGCGCGCGAAATTCTGACAAGCTGATTGGTAAACTTTAAGCCTTTCCTATTGGTATTAAGATTTTCGTCTCCAAATGACCTCAGGAATCTGCCATTAACGGGTGATACGGTAAGTCTGGGACACATTTATTTTGCTCAAATTATTACAATGTTTCACAGTTTAAAGTTTACTTTCATTTTTCATAGAACGTTGAATGTTGCAATATTGACATCTGAGATGCAGCTGGTTAGCGGTTAAGTAATACACACGTGGAAAAAGATTGTATGTAAAGTAAGGTACTGAATATGAACTTTCTTAAATATGAATGTGCGTAGTATTTTTAGTTTTCTTCAAAATGTATAAAATGTGACATATAACGTTTTTCCAACCATCCAGTTATTGCTATGCAATCATTATTATTTATTGAGGTAGTTATTTTCGAGGTAGTTTACGATGTGTAGAAAGAATGCCATTATTTCCAGATAATCGATTTATAAATAAATATTTATCCAAGTATAGAATACAAATGAGATGAAATTAGCAGATATATTGTTCGTTCAGTTCTCAGACATATCTTAAATTATACACCAATTTGTTAAATCGGTAATATATTAACATGACACACATTTTACCTATAAATAATCTATAAATAATTAAGTAATATTTTAATAATTCTAATATTACTCACGTATTGTGGCCAAGGCTACGGTAAATAGCATGCAGGCAAAACTAAAATAAAAGATCATTAATTGACAATGAATTCAATCATTAATATTAATAAGCTAATAAAATTTTTATAGAACCAATTACTATTGTTTCTTAAAATGGAATGATTGCTGTTTACGGCATGTCTTTTAATAAGTACCAGTATTATTTCTATTTATCATTCCGCATTATACGCATGTACAATGCTATTTTTAATCACAATAATAGACACTGCTCAGATATTACGTAAAAATTTTTGATAAAATCTTTTATATATCTCTATATATATTTTATATACGTAACAAACCTTGATACGTGATAAAATCTTTTATATATCTACATATATTTTATATTTAAACTTTGATGGGATTCTTGAAGACATTTTGAAGTCTTCGATGCTTGATTTAATAGATTTTAGGTTGACGCTAAGTCTCAACGATTAGTTACACGGAAAGTTGGAGTTTACAAGCAAAGTGTATCTTTTGAGTTAGCAAAGGATTTCGCTGGACTTCGGACGTTTCACACTATCAATTTCGTTGATCGAAGACTGTTCAAATTCTCCACTTTACATCTCGTCCTTACGAGCAGCATTTTGGATTCTGAGAACTCCAAAAGATGTTTGACATTCGCAAACTATTTTGTAATATTAATCATATGACAAGAGTTAAAAATTATTTGTTCTACATTATTCTCGACTTTGAATAAAACAAGTTGAGTTAGCAATTATATTTATCCTTCGTACGTATTATTCTCTGATTTTTACGTGACGCGGCTACATATCTGTTTTTTAAGATAGGAAAATGTTTGTAAAAAACGAAAAAAAATTAGAAAAATAGATATTGTAGAAGAAGAATGCATAATTAATTTTATATCAAGTTGCGTGATAAAATGATAATACAACGTTACAGACGTCAATTGGATCTTACAAAAACGCAGCTACGACATATTACTTCATTCCACGTTTTATACATTAAGATATTTCTGTCTCAATGCGCCTATTGCGTCATTTTAACCTAACGATTTCTAGGAAGCCTCAAAAATTACGCAAGGGATTCGAAACGGAAAAATCAGCTACAAAATATAATTTTCTTAGATGCAATTTAAGCAATTTTAATTTTAAATTATTGAAAAAAAAAAAAAATTATAAAAATAAATATTAAATATATAGTATAAGCATTTATTAAAGAAATGTAGTGACACCAGTTTAGAAGTGAGGCATATTTTGCACGATAAATATCTTCTGACGATATCTATCTAATTATGGAATCTGAATAACAAAGACGTATTTAAGCGTATTTAAATTTTTTTTTATGACTGACTTTGTACTCGTCGTAACTATTATAATCGTCACAACAAAGTGTGTAAAAAATGCAATTTTTATCTCAGCTACGAACACAATAAAAAGCAAGTCATATTTTATGTTTTTTAGAATACGATCTATTCAAGATATTTAACATTTAATTAAACGCAGTAATGATATAAGGCATATATCATGTTAAAAACATTTCAATATATTATACATGTTAACATGAATAACATATTAATCTATTCATGTTAAACGTAAATGTATTAATTTAACGTAAACGTATTGATGTAACAGTACTTATATTATATTACCTCAAAATAATAAATTTATTAGACAGATATTTTTTCTCTCTTCCTTTCTTTCCAATAATTCCTATATGTACATTAAGTTTCTCGATATATGAGAACAATGTACTTTAAATTTCGTACTCTTTAATAATAAATTCAATTTTATGCAATTTGATCAATATAAAATCTTCAAAAAGATTTCTTTTTAAAAATAAATAAATAATAAATAATAATAAATAATTCTTTACATACTATTATAATACAGCACGTAGTAATAAATTTAAATTAAAAGACGTAGTAGTTTTTTGCGCAACATTTTAAAAGCGATTTAACCTCACGAGGTTAAAATTCTGCGTATGTTATAATTATGAATAATTAAACTAAGAAAAAGTTACTATATCACGAATGGATTAAGGACTGTTTAGCATAAAGGACAACATTAAGAATGTCGTCATGATCAAACTAATAGGCTATTCCTGCAAAAAATACATTGTGCAAAAATAAACTGATAATTACAATGACATAGCGCTTATTTGAAAGAAAAGTGACACAATCGGTGTAAAAAATGTAGTTGTTAAAATTAATCATTTTTAGCACATTCCTAAAAAATTATTAATTGTAAAATAATTAATTTGTAACTTGTTACTTAATTATTTGTATATATATATGTTTTCTCCTTTTGCATATATATATATATTTATCGAATGTTTGTTCTACAAGAGTATATTTTTGGAGCTTCCATAGGCATTACTAGGGGAGATTCTAGAGGACCATCTTCTTTCCAGAAGTTGACTGCCTCCCCCCCCCTCCCCACTTCTCCCAGAAATTTCGCAGAAATAGTAATTAATTCAAATAAAATACAGCACGTAGTAATAAATTTAAATTAAAAGACGTAGTAGTTTTTTGCGCAACATTTTGAAAGCGATTTAACCTCACGAGGTTAAAATTCTGCGTATGTTATAATTATGAATAATTAAACTAAGAAAAAGTTACTATATCACAAATGGATTAAAAATAAAAATAATTTTGGTACGCAGCACAAAGCTCTGACGTAAGAAAGTTAGAAGTATTTTAAAATATTTATTTGATTTAGAATTATTACCCTATCATTAAATGGCCGACAGTAAAAGACTTCACAATAGGAATTTAAAATTTATAGAAGCGGCCATGCTTTTCCGCCCCCTAGAAAAATTTTCTAGTTACGCCAATGGAAATTTCTAAAAACACGTCAACATTCTAGACCGGCTATGACTATTCATGTTTTAATTCCATTATAAAAATAATTATTCGATGAAAACAGCCGGTGATAGCGCGATCAGTTTTTGCACATAATAGGTCAACAATGTGTTAAAATCTTTTATTAGACTCTTTGAAGAAATATAATAATATTTTCTGAAGCAAGATACATATATTTGTTATCTTTGTTTAATTATTTATCTAATATTGTTTCTTGTATCAGAGAAATTTTTATCCGATTGTTGCGTCACATAACTGCATATATACATATTATTACATATAATTATATATGTGTATAATTTACTACACGTATTGCTATGAAAAATAATACATATAAACGTTCATTTCATTTCACTCTTAGTCAATTTATGTTGCGGTCACTGAATTCTCAATTGCAAAAATTATAGTTATGAAATGCAAAACAGCAGTAGTCTATCAGACAACTTTGAGTCTTTTGTTGTTTGATTTTATTATTTCAATCAATCCTAATTCTATTAATATAAACTCGCAAGGCACTCAGTTTTTTATCAATATATTTTTAATTGTTAACATGATCTTGAATAAATGAAAAAAAAGAAACTTTTATGCTGTTCTGTATTTCACAAGTTCGTCATTCACTGATCGCTGTATGATTTCACCAATTCTCTCATAGCTTTCGCCGATAATAAAAATTAAAAATTATTATAATATATATCATTATAATATAAAAATTTTAAATTATATTAATTAGACGTCAACAATCGGATAATTAAGATGCTTAATTAAATATATAAGTCACAATGGATTTACCAGGCGCGAATAATGACAGCGTACATAGTCGCCGGTTCAGTCGTGGACAATCCCGAAGTTAATCCCGAAGCTTACTAACGATTGCTAGCACTTAACGCCACTGTTTGACCGCCGAATATAATAAGATATTCGCGGCTTAAGAGCTATGCTGTTTTAAACAGTGAGAAGGAGAGGGGTAGAATGCCATGCATTTCAGCTAGTTGATTGCCTCGTGCCACTTATTGACCATCGGACCAACCTCGGACGTTGAAGAACACGTTTCTCGATTCTGGAAGGAAACCGGCAAGACGGGCGCAATTCGCTCGCAATTCGAAGCAAAACCGGTGTTTCCGATCGGGTGTTAATATTTCGCAACTCCTCGTTAAAGTTGCAGCACCGTAAAGCTTATTTCAAAATAAGAGTTAGATAAATCATAAGATTTAGATAAATCAATACAAAAAGTTCTTTTCTCTGTCATTAATCGTTCAAAACAAATGCAAAAAGGGTGCTGCGAGAAAAAAAAAAGAGAATACCCAGCTTATTAATTATTAATGTGGCTTCACGGTACTTTGAATGATCAACAGATGTATCAATTCTAGTTGTCACATCGTATATAGTATTCATTTAAGATTCATGTCACATGGAATACGTCCTTGTATTATAAATTTTGATATGTATAATTTATTTCACGTAAAATTTTTATTATCTTTTTAATTTCAAGATTATATTTCTAATGTGCACGGAGTACTTCTCTGGTGGTATACATTTTACGTTCGCATTTTACTCGAAACAAAATTCACACACACCAAATAAAACAATATGACCAAAAGTCAGAATAATTTTATATTGTACACTAAAAAATATAAAAATGTTACATTGTTTGATAAAAAATACAATTTATTTTTATAGTAGCATAATTATAAATTGATATCGAGTTTTCTTGGTTTTTCTTAAATAATCAGATTAACTGGAATGCTTAAATAATCAGAAAATTTGTCTATATATGCATATATGGCTGCTAGATGTTTTTAAGTAACTTATTTAAATTCTTTCACAATATGAATATCTTAAAGTAGATATTATATACGTTCGAACAGCAGTATAGCTGGAGAAGCTATCATAATTATTTGTGTGCAAGGATATTGGCGTGAATTTTGAATTATTAAAATTGTGACTATATTTAATAACAGACAAAAAATACAAATATTTGAACGCATTTTATTTAACTGCAGACTTTTTGCTGTTACGTTAATAAAAAAATAAGGTATATTAATTAAATTTCGGGGGCGGGTTTTAACCCCCGAAACCCCCCCCCCCTTCCCATGGGTTGCGCCACTGATTATATTTAAGTTGATTCTTTAATTAAGCTATAAAAATATAATGTATCTTAATAATTGGTTGTTAGTTAGTAACTATATTGTTGTATGTTAGTAACTTTATAACAAAAAAATATCGCTTTATGTCTAAGTAAATGTAAGTAAATATATAACATTTTCATACATGAATATTACAGTTATATAAGTGCAATATTTTCAAGTAAATTAATTTAATGAAAAAAATTCTATGAAAATATCTATTAGAAAAGATTAAAAGTCGTTACGTGGTAATGAATATTCTTTTATAATTTAATGAATGATTACATGAATGTAATCTAGGACGCAAAGATTGCCATGCATTAATGCATAGCCATGAAAAACTGGTAGACACCGGTTTGCGAGTAATTTCGCCGCTCTTATTAGTTGAAAAATGGGGTGACTAGCGACGCCCAAAAAGCCACGATCCGTGACAAAATCCGAATCCACATTTTTCGCAAGTCCACGCAAGTCACGTGCATGTCAATCTGCATCTATGACGATGTGGCAATCAAAAGACATAGTTCCGCACCAAAGCTACGCGCAGCGAGCGGCAAGGCGAACCGTGCATTTAGACGCGACCTTTCTAGTTGAGAGTATTTTGTATTTATTTCAGTAGTATATTTGGACTGAGTACAGAATTAATTAAGCAGATGTTTGCATTATACATATACGTACTTTATTAAAATAAAGTAAAATATTTTAAATATTTTAAATATTTAAAATACTTTTGACTGTTAAAGTACTGAATGCAAATATATGCACGTAATCCGCCTTGTTATTTGTTGCGCGTGACTTGACGCGAAATGCGATCGCGTTTCTTGATAAACATAGGTCGGCAAACTTTAAAGTTATATGAGCTATTATAAATAAAGAGTTCTTTCAAGATTCATCGAAGTATCGGAACGCTCTAAAAATTTGATAAACAAAAAAAGGTCATCTTTTCAAGATGTTCGCGATCGACTGCAAACTCTAGAATACAGGCAAATCAGATTCAAAAATACGTTATTTTTCTGCAATCAACAATTAGAAAGCTTTTGTACATTTTTTTCCATTTAATATCTTCTTCTGTTTTATATTTTTTCCGTAAATACTTAGCTTGAAAGATTTGACGCGCGTGTACCTCGCGAACAATGTGGTCATGCATGAGAGAAGTCACA